CCGCTTCAGCCTCCCAAAGTGCTGGGATTACAGGCATGAGCCACTGCACCAGGCTTGCTGTTTTTTTTTTTTTTCCTGTCAACATTATCAAACAGCCTCCTTCTATGTACTGAATAATAGACATCTTTATAGAATTTAATTCTTCATTTAGGTTTGTGTCTGGCTGTTGCCCTGGTGATGTTTATAAATATCGATCATACAACTACTTTGGCATTGCCCACAGCTATTGAAGATAAGAAATGTGATGAAGAAAGTAGTAGCTGCCCTCAGTAGAAGCTTATGAATACATTGTTTTTAGTTTTAAGGGATCCGTTAATCTACAACTTTTCATAGAGCATTTCTTGGTTTAGATCTAATACGCTGAAACTGGATAATACTTTATATTTTTGATTATCCAATTAATGCAACAAACATGGTTCTACAGCATTGGAGACATAGCATGTTCACATTTACTCACCCAAACTTAACTATCTGTGCTGCTTCTCCTACCCACCCTCTCCTACGGGGCTTACCCTTGAAGAGCAATAACAACTTATTTATTTTTTAATTTTAATTTTATTTTTGAGATAGTCTTGCTCTGGCGCCCAGGCTGGAGTGCAGTGGTGCAATCTCAGCTCACTGTAACCTCCTCCTCCTGGGTTCAAGAGTTTCTCCTGCTTCAGCCTCCTGAGTACCTGGGACTACAGGTGCCCATCACCACACCTGGCTAATTTTTTAATTTTTAGTAGAGAAGGGGTTTTGCCATCTTGGTCAGGCTGGTCTCGAACTCCTTGGCCCTAGGTGATCTGCCCACCTTGGCCTCCCAGAGTGCTTGGGATTACAGGTGTGAGCCACCGCACGCAACCAGCAAGAACACTTTAAATGTAAGCCAGTCCATGCAGCGCATGTATACTCCAGAGTCAGAGATTCATATGGGGATTATGAATCTGCATTTCCCTCCTGCCTTTCACAGTGTAAGCATCTTGTCATTACCTGGGATTTTAGTGTTTATAAATGAGTATTCACACAATATGGCTTCTGAACCAACCATTGTGTGTGTGTGTGTGTGTGTGTGTGTGTGTGTGTGTGTGTGTTTGTTGTTGTTGAGACAGGTTCTCTTGTCCAGGCTGGAGTGCAGTAGTGTGATTACGGCTCACCAAAGCCTCAACCTCCCAGGCTTATGTGATCCTCCCACCTAAACCTCCCAAGTAGCTGGGTACCATATGCACGCATCACCATGCCAGGCTGTTTTTTGTACTTTGTGCAGACATGGGGTTTTGCTATATTGCCTAGGCTATATTTTGTCTATTCTTTTTTTTTTTTTAATCGAGACAGCTTCTTGCTGTGTCACCCAGGCTGGAGTGCAGTGGCGCGATCTTGGCTCACTGCTGCCTTGATCTCCTGGGCTCAAACAATCCTCCCGCCTCAGCCTCCTGAGTAGCTGAGACCACAGGCATGCGCCGCCATGCCCGACTAACTTTTTTTTGTATTTTTTGTAGAAATGGGGTTTTGCCATGTTGCCCGGGCTGGTCTCGAACTCCTGGACTCAAGTGATCCTCCTGCCTTGACTTCCCAAAATGCTGGGATTACAGGCATGAGCCACCATGCCTGGTGTATTGTATCTATTCTTAACTGAAATATTCATTATAATTCTATAAAAGAAATAGCTGTGTTGTACTTACAGAGGGAACAGTATGCTTATATCCAGTCTGGCATGCCTTCCTAAGGGATTTTCAGGGTAATAAGACAATCAGAGAATTGAGCCAACTTTAGACCCTTGGTCTAAAGAGAAGTCAAAATTTGTAGGAATCTGAATCCCTTCCTTCAGGAAGCTTATAATCTAATTGGAGAGCACATTTATAGTGGAAAGCACATCTGTAAAACAGTTCACAGTGAAGAATGTAAGGAATCATGAGGCTAAATGGTAGTTGCACATCATAACGGCCTCAGCTGCAGGCATTCTGTCCCGTTGTCCTCACAAATACAACCGAAGTTGTCAGGCAACAAGTCTAGATTTTTGGTTTAGGAAAAAAGGCATCAGTATCATTACAGGGTATGTGAAAGAGCAAAGATGGCTTTATCCCTAAAGGTTTCCTGGAATTATTGACTTGTTATTGAATAGGTGGTGAGAGATAAAAAAACACAAGGGTGTTTCAGACAGACAGTTGTTGGGAGCATGAAGGTGTGAATGATCAAGCCAAACTCTTTATGTTTTCATCTGGCCAGATGGTAGGGGACATATGGGAGTGTCACAGGAGTGAGGATCATCAGGAGCATCACCAGCTGACTCAGGGATGATGATAAATTCTCTTGACCATCACCTATTCCTCATTCTCTTCACTGTCAGCCCTGAGGCCTTTGTCTGGTGTTTTCTGACCCTTCTCATGCTTAAAATGGTGAATTTTATTGATAATACCTGTTTTAACATTTGTCTGTTTTATCTAAAAATTGGAGTGGTTGTGGCTAAATGATTACCTGGTAAGCCCTTGTGGGAGCCAGCGTGATGTAATAGAGGCCAGAAACAGGAGTCAGGGACCCCAGGTTCTGGCACCTCGCTGTCATTTGTTAGCTCCATGACTGTAGGCAAGTCACTTAACCTCTCTGCATTACCTCCAAAATGTTAGACCTGAATCAGACGTTTTTATGCTATATATATTTTTTTCTTTTTTCTTGTTTGTTTTTTGTTTTTTTTGAGGCAGGGTTTTACTCTGTTCTAGGCTGGAATGCAGTGGTGTGATCATAGCTTACTGCAGCCTCAAATTCCCAGGCTCAAGTGATCCACCTGCCTCTGCCTTCTAAGTAGCTAGGACTATAGGCATACTCCACCACACCCAGCTCTTTTTTTTTTTTTTTTTTTTTTTTTTTTTTGTAAAAATGGGGTCTCACTGTGTTGCCCAGGCTGATCTGGAATTCCTGGCCTCAAGTGATTCTTCTGCGCCTCCCAAAGCATTTTTTTTCAATGAAACTTTTTACAAATGAAACTTTACTCAAAACCTTGTTATGGGCTGGAGGCAGTGGGTCACGCCTGTAATCCCAGCACTTTGGGAGGCCGAGGCGGGCAGATCAGGAGGTCAATAGATTGAGACCATCCTGGCCAACATGGCAAAACCCCATGTCTACTAAAAATACAAAGTTTAGGTGGGCATAGTGGCACATGCCTATACTTCCAGCTGCTCAGGAGGCTGAGGTAGGAGAATTGCTTGAACCCGGGAGGCGGAGGTTGTAGTGAGCTGAGATTGTGCTGCTGCACTCCAGCCTGGGCAACAGAGTGATACTCCATCTAAAAAACAAAACAAAACAAAACAGACAAACAAACAAAAAAACCCTGTTATATAAAACAGAGCTGATCTGCCCAGTAGAGGATAGGGAGCTAGAAGCCCCAGCTGCTTACCTAATTACTTCCTTTTCCGTTCTCCCAGGGGCCTTAGGCTCAGGAGAACACAGCGGGGAAAAATCCCTGGACTAGATCCCTTAGGTCCTGTCTAGAATTTAACATTTTCTGAATCTTATATTGATAAGCAGAGTGGAATTTCTTAAAAACAATTTTGAGGAGGCAGTGCAGTTCTAAATACATACATATGGATGCTACAGTGTAAGATCTGCTAGCTACAGTGAGAAACAGGAAAAGATAAACACAGCTCTTGCTTTAAGCAGCATTCTTGGAAGAAGAGTAAGAGGGAACAAAAGAGCTATAACTTTCATAACACAACTCATAGTACACAGAGATTGAAGTCAACAAGAGTTTGCTCCCTAAAAATAATTACAGAGATTATGAAGAGAGAAAGGGAAACGAATTTGTGTGTTTTAATTCTGCAAAATTAAAACGAATATGTGTGTTTTAATTCTGTACTGCCAGCGCGGTGGCTTATGCCTGTAATTCCAGCACTTTGGAAGGGCCAGACAGAAGGATAACTTGAGCTCAAGACGAGCCTGGGCAGCATAATGAGACCTTGTATCTACAAAAAAGACTTTTAAAGTTAGCCAGGCATGGTGGTGAGCGCATGTACTCCCAGGTACTCAGGAGGCTGAGGTCAGGGGATCACTTGATCCCTGGAGGTCAAGGCTGCAGTGAGCCACGATCACACCACTGTACCCCTAGCCTAGGTAACAGAGAGTGACTGTCTCAAAAATAATAATATTTGTCAGAATAGCATGTCTTTGTATAACTGCCACATTGCTTGTATGAGGTGAAGCTAACTCACTTTATTATCAGAAGTGTGATCTCATCAAAGACCAAGCCGTCCAGCTGCCTTGGACTGTAGGTCCTGCGTTGCCAGTACCTTGGGGCTATATACAAAAGCCAGGATGAGGGGATCTTGTGGTTACCACCATGGGACTAGTAACTTGTCAAGGGGGAAGGTGACCCCAAGTAGAGAAGGGTAGGGTCCTTGGTTTTGGCCTCGCCTGGTTCTCCCCATAGTGAATGGCGAAAAATAATAATTCTGGGAAAAACTTTAAATTCTTAATTTTGTTTACTTTTTGGATGGGAGATAGGTGTATACATGGTAAAATTCAAAAGGAACAAAAGGAGCCTGGGTGCGGTGGCTCACACCTGCAATCCCAGCACTTTAGGAGGCCAAGGTGGACGGATCATTTGAGGTCAGGAGTTCGAGACCAGCCTGGCCAACATGGTGAAACCCTGTCTCTTCTAAAAATACAAAAATAAGCCAGGCATGGTGCATGTGCCTGTAATTCCTGCTACTCGGGAGGTTCAGGCAGGAGAATTGCTTGAACCTGGGAGGCAGAGGTTGCAGTGAGCCGAGATTGTGCCACTGCACCCAGCCTGAGTGACAGAGTGAGACTCCATCTCAAAAAATAAAAATTAAAAAAAAAGTGGCAGCAAGTGGGGCTGAAGGACTTTTACTTTTTCTGTTACACTTCAGTACTGATGGAAGTTTTAAGATCATGCATGTATCTTACAGCAAATCCACAAGAAATTATGCACTTAATTTTTCTGGGTGAATTGTGTTGTAGAGGCAATAGAGAATTATTTAAGTTTCTCCTTTTTCTTTGTTTTCCAGATAGCAGACCCCATGCTAGCTGAAATGGGAAAAAACTTGAAGGAGGCAATGAAGATGTTGGAGGACAGTCAGAGGTGAGCACTACAGAAGTGACCTGTTCAGCGAGTTCAGCCTGCTGCGAAGCTGGTGGCTCTGGCTTCCTTCTGTTAAAGATACCTCTTGGCTTCACAGTGTCACACATAGCTTCTACTGACTTGAAAGTTGGTATTTGTCTTGAGTAAAAGGTGCCTTGTAATTAAAGGATTTTGAAATTGAGAGGAAGGACTTAAAATTTTTAAATCTGTCTGTTAAGAGTTTCATTTACTTAATATATTGATTTGACTTTATAATTACTTGTTATATATGCAGGTCATGTAAAGCACCAAGTAAATAAGAAGCGGGTGGAACTTTTTGTGCATATTCTTATCTTTTCCGGAAACTCAAACTATACCTAAAACTAGAGGCAGGGAGATCTGATACATGTGTTTCAAATCCTGCCTCAATCACTAAGAGATTATAGGCAACATAGTCATGTTTGCATGTTTAGGAGTTAGAAATCTGATATGATGAAACAAATGAACACTTTTTGTTTTCTTTAAATTAGAAGAACAGAAGAGGAAAATGGAAAGAAGCTCGTGTCAGGGGATATTCCAGGGCCACTCCAGGGCAGGTAGGTGACAATGAGGATCCATACCTTTAGTTAAGGTGTAAATTTTTGTTTGTTTTTGAGATGGAGTCTTGCTCTGTTGTCCAGGCTGGAGTACAGTGGCACAATGTGGGCTCACTGCAAACTCTGCCTCCTTGGTTCAAGCGGTTCTCATGCCTCAGCCTCCTGAGTACCTGGGATTACAGGCGTGCGCTACCACACCCGGCTAATTTTTGTATTCTCAGTAGAGACGGGGTTTCGCCATGTTGGCCAGGCTGGTTTCTAACTCCTGACCTTGACCTCAGGTGATCCACCTGCCTCAGTCTCCCAAAGTGCTGGGATTATAGGTGTGAGCCACCCCGCCTGGCCTACTTTTCTTTTTTTTTTTTTTTTGAGACGGAGTTTCACTCATGTTACCCAGGCTGGAGTGCAATGGCACGATCTCGGCTCACCGCAACCTCCGCCCCCTGGGTTCAGGCAATTCTCCTGCCTCAGCCTCCTGAGTAGCCGGGATTACAGGCATGTACCACCATGCCCAGCTAATTTTTTTTTGTATTTTTAGTAGAGACGGGGTTTCACCATGTTGACCAGGATGGTCTCGATCTCTTGACCTCGTGATCCACCCGCCTCGGCCTCCCAAAGTGCTGGGATTACAGGCTTGAGCCACCGCGCCCGGCCTGGCCTACTTTTCTTAAATCAGTATCTTACCATCATTGATTTACGGTTTTAGTTTTAATGAACACGTAACAAATTTAAATAGACTTCTGTGCAGTATAACATTAGAAAATGGAAGTACCATTGGCTGATTGGTGATATTGCTGCACCTGCTGGCTTCTCTCCCTCTCCCGTTTGGGATTCAGTACAGGCTGGGTACAGTGGGCAATACCTGTAATCCCAGCACTTTGGGAGGTCACTTGAGCCCAGGAGTTCAATGTTCACTGTCATTGTGCCACTGCACTCCAGCCTCAGTGATAGAGACTCTAAAAAAAGATTTTTTTTTTAAACCGACAATTTTCTGCAACCTCATGACTCAGAAATGATACATGGAGCCAGGCACAGTGGTGCACACCTGTATTCCCAGCTGCTTGGGAGGCTGAGGCAGGAGGGTCGATTGAGTTGAATAGAGGCTACCCTGACATCACGAGACCCTATCTCTGAAACAAAATAAAAGTGATATAAAAATTCACCCTAATGACTGGTATATCATACTTAGTTCATTCTTGAAACCTGTAATCTATTTGGTAGACTGAGTTTTATTGTAAGAGCTATTTTAATTTGATAAGATTTATCGTTTTCATAATACAGTAAAGAAAAGGAAAATGTCAAATTTAATCACTTATTGTTTGGCAACTGAAGCAAATCTGTCACATCTTCCTCATTTGAGCTAGCAGGAAAAATAGCAAAAAAGTAAGTAGCTGACTAAAATATTCACAAGATGTTAGCAGTTAATCTGGGATTGATGACCCAGCCCACCTTCCCTGATACAACTTATTTTTTTTTTTTTTCCTTTTATAACCAGGAAACTGTGCATAAGTAAACAGTACAACTCCCTTAAATATCCTTTGACCTGAATGTAAACTGAACCAGGTTGCAAAAGAAAAGTATGGAGGAAGGATCACAGTGTGCCAGTAAATGTCACATCTAACACACTGAGATACTAATACTTTAAAACAGTCACTCCTATTCTTAGCATGAATAATGCCGCCTGAAGTGAGGCCCGAAGTGCATTTTCAGGTCAGAACAGGAAGCAGGGCCTATAAAATCTCGATCCAGGTCTACGGATGGAAACAAAAGGCTTTAAGGTTTTAGTCTCCTGATTCCACTGACGTTTCCCCAGGAGAGATACTCCCAAGAGCATCTGTAATTCTCAAAATGACAGCACGTTAAGCCACTGACTGGGAAGAATCACACTTAGGAATGCATTCAAGACCGGTAACCTCCCAGGCACAACTGAGTACCATACTTTCACGGTCTGAAGCCTCTCACGTCCATAACGTCCAGCTTGACGAGTTGGAATAGCATGTTCAGGGTCATGCGGCAGGTAGCCAAGGGCCTCTGCCTGCCCTAATCTCTACAGTGTCCAGGGCCCAGAGCCCCTCTCACTTGAAAGGCAGCACCCTGGGGACAATTGGTTTGGAGACATCATTTTGATGGTGCTTCCTTTGTTGAAAGAGGACGCATTTTATTAGTCTGTTCTCGTTAATGGAGGGATAGCTTTATGTTATTCCTCTTGCAAGTTGCCTTGCCATTGGTTGCTACTTCAGCCATTTGAATTCTTTCATAACTTTCCACCTCCTCATGTAATGAGCATTTCATAGCAACATATCTTGGATAGAAGTAAAATGTTTTTACACTTTAATCAGATCTCAAGTTTCACAGCTTGGGGAAGAGCTGGTAATAAATGAAGCTTACATTGTTAAAGGCTGTTACTCCCAACAGACAAGATTCATAAATGGAGGAAATTAGATATGCCAGTGGCATTGGAATAGTCTGTGACTGTCTGGCATTATAATAAGGAATATGCTCATTATATATTATAGGTACATATTATAAGGACTTTTGGGTCTTCTTACATACTTATTAAATACTCTCTGTCTTATACTCCAAGATTCAAATGAAACGTATAGAAATGTAGCTAGAGCAAGACTGGTGGCTGGGCACAGTGGCTCATGCCTATAATCTGAGCACTTTGGGAGGCTGAGGCAGGAGGATCGCATGAGCTCAGTGGTTTGAGACCAGCCTGAGCAACATGGTCTACCAAAAATACAAAAAGGCCGAGCACAGTGGCTCATACCTGTAATCCCAGCACTTTGGGAGGCCGAGGTGGGTGGATCACTTGAGGCCAGGAGTTCAAGACCAGCCTGGGCAACATGGTGAAACCCCATCTCTACTAAAAATATACAAATTAGCCAGGCGCTGTGGCGCATGTGTGTAATTCCAGCTACTCAGGAGGCTGAGGCAGGAGAATCGCTTGAACCCAAGAGGCAGAGGTTGCAGTGAGCCAAGATCGTGTCACTGCACTCAAGCCTGGGTGACAGAGTGAGACCCTATCTCAAAAAAATAAATAAAAAGACTGGTTACATTTATTAAAATGAAACTCATGTTTAGGTAGAAGACTTATTTAGCTATAAGTAAGTTTATATCAGAATTTATAATTTGAGCTTTGTTTTTTAAAAAGCATAAAATGTGTACCACATTCTTTGTCTTATAGTTACTTAAGAAACAAAAAACTTTTTAGCAAGGCTGGTTAGATGAGAACAGTAACTTAGAGTGGTGGGGTATGTGTGTTGTTCCCACCAACCTGTCAACTCCTTTTTTTCTGCAGTGGACAGGATATGGTGAGCATCCTCCAGCTGGTTCAGAATCTGATGCATGGAGATGAAGACGAGGAGCCCCAGAGCCCCAGGTAATGAACCTGGCAGCTTTTCTTTTCGAGTGTATGTGTCCTTGATTTCAGTAGTGATTGCACTCTGGCAAGTGGCTCAAATAAGAAGCTCTATTTCATTGAGTTTCATATGATACTAAAATATTTTTTTCATAAAGACATTTATATATAAGATATATTTTGTGAATTGAAGGCATTTACTGAAATTAGAACCCGTAGTTTCTTTGGTCTCGTGTCTTAGAGAGGGGTGGCAGAAGGACTAAAGAGTAAGCACCGTTCTGCTGCTGTGCTTCTGCTTTCTAAGAATTGCTGCACCTCTATTAATTAGTTTTCTCTTTAATTATTTTAATTTTAATGTTTTGAAATAAGTAAAATGTTCTATTGGTTCAAAATTCTGACAATAAAAAACAATATACAAAGGGAATTTTCCTTTCTACCTGTTTCTCCGTACCTGGTTTTCTTCTCTAGAGATAAACGTTACCAGTTTCTTGTGTATGCTTCCTGGGAGATTTTGTATGTATTATACGAAAGGAAAATGTTCATGCCCCCCCTCTCCGAGACATAATTACTACGCATATGTTCTGCACCTTGCATTTTTTCACTTAAGTCTTGGAGCTCATTGCATATTCATGCACAGTAGCTTTCTCCTTTGTCAGAGCTGTGTATTTTACTTGGAACTGATGAGCCATATTTTATTTTATTGGTCCCCTGTCATGTTTCACTGTCACTTTTGACATGTGTTCCTTCTCATAGAAGCAAGTGTGTCTCGAGGACAGAGTCCTGAAAGTGGGATTGCTGTCTCAGACAGTGTGTACTTGTGTAATTTGGATCGATCCTGCCAAATTTCCCTCCGTGGAGTTGTGGCATTCAGCAGTCCCACCAGCAATGTATGAGAGGACTTTATTCCCACACCTTCGCCTGCAAAGGCGTTGTCAGACTAAGTGATCTTTGATAAGTGATATTCTCATGAGAAATCTGATAAGCGTTTATAATGAACCAAGTGAAGTGTCTTTTTGTGTGTTTTAAGACCCATTTATATTTCCCTTTCTAGGAACTGGCTGTTGCCCATGGTCCTATTAGTCTATTTGTCTCTTTCTTATTACTTACAGTTAACAATTGTAAACTTTTTCCTCCTTATTTACAGTTTTTCTTTATAAGGGAAATTAGTTTCAATTATATACAAGACATTTTATAAAATCAATTTTAATTACATATGAAATACCTAGTCCCCCTTGAATTTGCTGTATTATTGCAATAAACAATTTTTATTTAATGCAGAGACTTGGGATTTAATTCTTTAAAAAATGTTTTTGGCTCATTTTACCTTAGCCTACCCTCCATAATTCCTAAGGCTGGTATTTAATCTTAAAAAATATTTTAACAGGGCTGGGTGCTGTGGCTCACGGCTATAATCCCAGCACTTTGGAAGGCCAAGGTGGGCGGATCACAAGGTCAGGAGTTCAAGACTAGCCAACATGGTGAAACCCTGTCGCTACTAAAAAAATACAAAAATCAGCTAGGCATGGTGGTTTGTGCCTGTCATCCCAACTAGTTGGGACGCTTAGATAGGAGAATTGCTTGAACTGGGACCAGGGAGGCAGAGGTTGCAATGAGCTGAGATCACGCCATTGTACTCTGGCCTGAGCTACAGAGCGAGACTCCATCTCGAAAAAAAAAATTTTTTTTTTTTTTTTTTTTGAGACAGAGTCTCACTCTGTTGCCAGGCTCCAGGCTGGAGTGCAGTGGCACAATCTCTGCTCACTGCACTCTCCGCCTCCTGGGTTCAAGCAATTCTCCTGCCTCAGCCTCCCGAGTAGCTGGGACTACAGGTGCATGCCACTTTGCCCAGCTAATTTTTGTTTTTTTTTTTTTTTTTTTGAGACGGAGTTTCACTCATGTTACCCAGGCTGGAGTGCAATGGCGTGATCTCGGCTCACCGCAACCTCTGCCTCCGGGTTCAGGCAATTCTCCTGCCTCAGCCTCCTGAGTAGCTGGGATTACAGGCACGCACCACCATGCCCAGCTAATGTTTTGTATTTTTAGTAGAGACAGGGTTTCACCATGTTGACCAGGATAGTCTCGATCTCTTGACCTCGTGATCCACCCGCCTCGGCCTCCCAAAGTGCTGGGATTACAGGCTTGAGCCACCGCGCCCGGCCTAATTTTTGTATTTTTTAGTAGAGACAGCGTTTCACTGTGTTGGTCAGGATGGTCTCGATCTCTTGACCTAGTGATCCGCCCGCCTCGGCCTCCCAAAGTGCTGGGATTACAGGCGTGAGCCACTGTGCCTGGCCTGAAAAAAAAATTTAATAGGAAATTATTTTAAAACAGTTTGTAGATACTCAATTTAAAAAGGGATATTTACCTCCTGGAACCTAAATTATGAAAATATTTTTCTGGCCGGGCGCAGTGGCTCATGCCTGTGATCCCAGCACTTTGGGAGGCCGGGGTGGGTGGGTCACCTGAGGTGAGGAGTTCGAGAGCAGCCTAACCAGCATGGTGAAACCCCGTCTCTACTAAAAGTACCAAAAATTGGCTGGGTGTGGTGGCGGGCGCCTGTAATCCCAGACTGGGGGGTTAAGGCAGGAGAATCACTTGAACGCAGGACGTGAAGATTGCAGTCAGCCAAGATCACACCATTGCATTCCAGCCTGGGCAAGAGTGAGGCTCCATCTTACAAAAAAAAAAAATATATATATATATATATATATATATATATATATCTCCGTCTCAAAATTTTCACTAAACTGTCAATACTGTATATGCTTTGAATTTTCTTAATTTATCTGAGTTTCTGCTTTCTGGGCCATTAAGTAGATTTCAAGTCTGACAAATTTCTGTGGAGTACTGTCTCTATGTTCTGTGTCCTTTTTTATGGTTTGACTCTAATTCTTTCTTTAAACTAATTTTGCTCAACAGAATCCAAAATATTGGAGAACAAGGTCATATGGCTTTGTTGGGACATAGTCTTGGAGCTTATATTTCAACTCTGGACAAGGAGAAGCTGAGAAAACTTACAACTAGGATACTTTCAGATACCACCTTATGGCTGTGCAGAATTTTCAGGTAAAGACATGAAGAGTTTTTAGTTTCCAGTGAAGACTTGTGAGTTGGGTATAGGCTGAAAGATCTTTTTTCTGGAGCTGTACTACTTGGGTTCAGATATCCTCCTCCTTGGAAGAGGTGCTTACCCTCTCCATGCCTGTTTCATTGTCTGTTAGATGGGGTAGTATTAATTTCAATTTCTTTCTTTCTTTTTTTTTTTTTTTAAATGCTTTAAGTTCTGGAGTACATGTGCAGAACATGCAGGTTGGTTACATAGGTATACACATGCCATGGTGGTTTGCTGCATCCATCACTCCGTCATCTACATTAGATATTTCTCCTAATGCTATCCCTCCCCTATTCCCTCACCTGCTGACAGGCCCCGGTGTGTGATGTTCCCTTCCCTGTGTCCATGTGTTCTCATTGTTCAACACCCACTTATGAGTGAGAACATGGTGTTTGGTTTTCTTTTCTTGTGTCAGCTTGCTGAGAATGATGGTTTCCAGCTTTATCCACGTCCCTGCAAAGGACATGAACTCATTCTTTTTTATGGCTGCATAGTATTTATTCCATGGTGTATATGTGCCATGTTTTCTTTATCTAGTCTATCATTGATGGGCATTTGGGTTGGTTCCAAGTCTTTGCTATTGTGAACAGTGCTGCAATAAACATACGTGTGCATGTGTCTTTATAATAGAATGACTTATATTCCTTTGGGTATATACCCAGTAATGGGATTGCTGGGTCAAATGGTATTTTTGTTTCTAGATCCTTGAGGAGTTGCCACAGTGTCTTCCACGGTGGTTGAACTAATTTATACTGCCACCAACAGTGTAAAAGCATTTCTGTTTCTCTACATCCTCTCCAGCATCTGTTGTCTCCTGATTTTTTTAATGATTGCCATTCTAACTGGAGTGAGATGGTATCTCAATGTGGTTTTGATTTGCATTTCTCTTAATGAACAGTAATGATGAGCTTTTTTTCATTTGTTTATTGCCTGCATAGATGCCTTCTTTTGAGAAGTGTCTGTTCATATTCTTCATCTACTTTTTGATGGGGCTGTTTTTTTTTTTCTTGTAAATTTGTTAAGTTCTTTATAGATTCTGGTTATTAGCTCTTTGTCAGATAGGTAGATTGCAAAAAATTTTTCCCATTCTGTTGGTTGCCAGTTTACTCTAAGGATAGTTTCTTTCACTGTGCAGAAGCTCTTTAGTTTAATTAGATCCCATTTGTCTATTTTGGTTTTTGTTGCCAATGCTTTTGGTGTTTTAGTCATGAAGTCCTTGCCCATGCCTATGTCCTGAATGGTATTGCCTAGGTTTCCTTCTGGGGTTTTTATGGTATTAGGTCTTATGTTTAAATCTTTAATCCATTTGGAGTTAGGAAGGGATCCAGTTTCAACTTTCTGCATATGGCTAGCCAGTTTTCCCAACACCATTTATTATATAGGAAATCCTTTCCCCATTGCTTGCTTTTGTCAGATTTGTCAATGATTAGATGGTTGTAGATGTGTGGTGTTATTTCTGAGGCCTTTGTTCTATTCGATTGTCTGTATCTCTGTTTTGGCACCAGCACCATGCTGTTTTGATGGCTGTAGCCTTGTAGTATAGTTTGAAGTCAGGTAGCATGATGCCTCCAGCTTTGTGTTTTTTTTTTTGCTTAAGATTGTCTTGACTGTATGGGCCCCTTTTTGGTTCCATATGAAGTTTAAGGTGTTTTTTTTTCCAATTCTGTTCAGAAAGTCAATGGTAACTTGATGGGGGTAACATTGAATCTGTGCATTACTTTGGGCAGTATGGCCATTTTCATGATATTGATTCTTCCTAAACATGAGCATGGAATGTTTTTCAGTCTGTTTGTATCTTCTCTTATTTCATTGAGCAGTGGTTTGTAGTTCTTGAAGATGTCTTTCACATCCCTTGTTAGTTGTATTCTTAGGTATTTTATTCTCTTTGTAGCATTTGTGAATGGGAGTTCACTCATGATTTGACTCTCTGTCTGTTACTGGTGTATAGGAATGCTTGTGATTTTTGCACACTGATTTTGTATTCTGAGACTTTGCTGAAGTTGCTTATCAGCTTGAGATTTTGGGCTGAGACAATGGGGTCTTCTAGATAGACAGTCATGTTGTCTGCAAATAGAGACAATTTGACTTTCTCTTTTCCTAATTGAATATGCTTTATTTCTTTTTCTTGCCTGATCGCCTTGGCCAGAACTTCCAATACTGTGTTGAATAGGAGTGCTAATTGAGGGCATCCTTGTCTTGTGCCAGTTTTCAAAGGGAATGCTTCCAGTTTTTGCCTGTTCAGTATGATATTGGCTGTGGGTTTGTCATAAATAACTCTTATTATTTTGAGATATGTTCCATTGATACCTAGTTTATTCAGAGTTTTTAGCATAAAGGGCTGTTGAATTTTGTCGAAGGCCTTCTCTGTATCTATTGAGATGATCGTGGTTTTTGTCTTGGGTTCTCTTTGTGTGATGGGTTACGTTTATAGATTTGCATATGTTGAACTAACCTTGCATCTGAGGGTTGAAGCCAACTTGGTCGTGGTGGATAAGCTTTTTGATGTGCTGTTGGATTCAGTTTGGCGGTATTTTATTGAGGATTTTCACATCAATGTTCATCATGGATATTGGCCTGTAGTTTTCTTTTTTAGTTGTGTCTCTGCCAGGTTTTGGTATCGGGATGATGTTGGCCTCATAAAATGAGTTACGGAGGATTCCCTTTTTGTGTTGTTTGGAATTGGTTCAGAAGGAGTGATAGTAGCTCCTCCTTGTACCTCTGGTAGAATTTGGCTGTGAACCTCTCTGGTCCTGGACTTTTTTTGGTTGGTAGGCTATTAACTGCTGCCTCAATTTCTAACCTTGTTATTGGTCTATTCAGGGATTCAACTTCTTTCTGGATTAGTCTTGGGAGGGTGTAAGTGTCCAGGAATTTATCAGTTTCCTCTAGATTTACTGGTTTATTTGCATAGAGGTGTTTGTAGTATTCTCTGATGGTAGTTTGTATTTCTGTGGGATCAATAGTGATAACCCCTTTATCATTTTGTATTGCATCTATTTGATTCATCTCTCTTTTCTTTTCTATTAGTCTGGCTAGCAGTCCCTCTATTTTGTTGATGTTTTGAAAAACCAGCGCCTGGATTCATTGATTTTTTTTTTTTTTGAAGGGTTTTTTTGTGTGTCTGTCTCCTTCAGTTCTGCTCTGATCTTAGTTATTTTTTGCCTTCTGCTAGTTTTTGAATTTGTTTGATCTTGCTCCTCTAGTTCTTTTAATCATGACGTTAGGGTTTTGATTTTAGATTTTTCCTCATTTCTCTTTTGAGCATTTAGTGCTATAAATTTCCCTCTAGACACTGCTTTAAATGTGTCCCAGAGATTCTGGTATGTTGTGTCTTAATTCTTAGTGGTTTCAAAGAACATCTTTATTTCTGCCATCATTTTATTATTTATCCAGTACTCATTCAGGAGCAGGTTGTTGAGTTTCCATGTAGTTGTGTGGTTTTGAGTGAGTTTCTTAATCCTGAGTTCTAATTTGATTGCACTGTGGTCTGAGAGACCGTTATGATTTCCATTCTTTAACATTTGTTGAGGTGTGTTTTACTTCCAGTTATATGGTCAGTTTTAGAATAAGTGGGATGTGGTGCTGAGAAGAATGCATATTCTGGGGATTTGGGTTGGGGAGTTCTGTAGATGTCTATTAGTTCTGCTTGGTCCAGATCTGAGTTCAAGTTCTAGATATCCTTATTAATTTTCTAGATATCCTTATTAATCTGTCTAATATTGACAATGGGGTGTTAAAGTCTCCCACTATTATTGTGTGGGAGTCTGAGTCTCTTTGTGGGTCATTAAGAGCTTGTTTTATGTACTGGGTGCTCCTGTATTGGCTGCATGTATATTTAGGGTAGTTAGCTCTTGTTGCACTGATCCCTTTACCATTATGTAATGCCCTTCTTTATCTCTTTTGATCTTTGTTGGTTTAAAGTCTGTTTTATCAGGACTGGGATTGCAACTCCTGCTTTTTTTGCTCTCCATTTGCTTGGTAAATCTTCCTCCATCCCTTTATTTTGAGCTTATGTGTGTCTTTGTATGTGAGGTGGGTCTCCTGAATACAACACACTGATGGATCTTGACTCTTTATCCAGCTTGCCAGTCTGTCTGGGTCTTTTGATTGGGGCATTAAGCCTATTTATATTTACGGTAACATGTGTGAATTTGATCCTGCTATTTTGATGCTAACTGGTAGTTTTGCCTGTTAGTTAATGCAGTCTCTTCATAGTGTCGATGGTCTTTATAGTTTGGTATGTTTTTGCAGAGGCTGGTGCTGGTTGTTCCATTCCATATTTAGTGCTTCCTTCAGGAGCTCTTGTAAGGCAGTCCTGATGGTGATAAAATCTCTCAGCATTTGTTTGTTGGTAAGAGATTTTATTTCTCCTTTGCTTATAAAGCTTAGTTTGGCTAGATATGAGATTCTGGGTTGAAAATTCTTTTCTTTAAGGATGTTGAATATTGGCCTGCACTCTCTTCTGGCTTGTAGGGTTTCTGCTGAGAGATCTGCTGTGAGTCTGATGGGCTTCCCTTTGTGGGTAACCTGACCTTTCTCTCTGGCTGCCCTTAGCATTTTTTCCTTCATTTCAACCCTAGTGAATCTGACGATTATGTGTCTTGAGGTTGCTTTTCTCGAGGAATATCTTTGTGGTGGTTTCTGTATTTCCTGAATTTGAATGTTGCCCTGCCTTGCTAGGTTGGGGAAGTTCTCCTGGATAATATCCTGAAGAGTGTTTGCCAACTTGGTTTCATTCTCCCTGTCACTTTCAGGTGTACCAATCAAACATAGATTAGGTTTTTTCACATAATCCCGTATTTTTTGGAGGCTTTGTTCATTTCTTTTCACTATTTTTTCTCTAATCTTGCCTTCTTGCTTTATTTCATTGAGTTGGTCTTCAGTCTGATATCCTTTCTTCTGCTTGATCAATTCAGCTGTCGAAAATTGCGTATGCTTCACGAAGTTCTTGTGCTGTGTTATTCAGCTCCATCAAGTCGTTTGTTTGTCTCTGCACTGGTTATTCTAGTTGGCATTTCATCTAACCTTTTTTTCACAGTTCTTAGTGCCCTTGCGTTGGGTTAGAACATGCTCCTTTAGTTTGGAGAAATTTGTTATTACCCACCTTCTGAAGCCTGCTTCTGTCAATTTGTCAAACTCATTCTCCACCTAGTTTTGTTCCCTTGCTGGTGAGCAGTTGTGATCCCTTGGATGAGAAAAGGCATTCTGATTTTTGCAGATATCAGCCTTTTTGCGCTGGCGGCTTCCCATCTTTGTGGATTTACCTATCTTTTGTCTTTGAAGTTGGTAACTTTGGATTGGGTCTCTGAGTGGATGTCCTTTCTGTTGATGTTGAAACCATTTCTTTCTTTTAGTTTTCTTTCTAACAGTTAGGCCCCTCTGCTGCAGGTCTACTGGAGTTTGCTGGTCGTCCACTCCAAACCCTGCTTGCCTGGAATCACCAGCCAGGGCTGCAGAATAGCAAAGATGCTGCCTGTTCCTTCCTCTGGTAGCTTCGTCTCAGAGGGGTACTCACCACATGCCAGCCAGAGCTCTCCTGTATGAGGTGTCCGTCAACCCCTACTGGGAGTTATCTCTCAGTCCGGATACACAGGGGTCAGGGAGCCCCTTGAGGAGGCAGTGTGTCCCTTATCAGAGCTCAAGAGCTGTGCCAGGAGATTGTGGCCCCCTTCAGAGCTATTGGGTCGGGAGGTTTACGTCTGCTGAAGCTGAATCCGTAACTGCTCCTTTTCCCAGGTGCTCTGTCACAGGAAGGTGGGGCCTCTATATTTAAGTCTCTCATGGGCTGCTGCCTTTTTTCAGAGATGCCCTGCCCAGCAAGAACGGAGTCCAGTGACACAGTCTACCTGCAGAGGCCTCGCCGAGCTGCTGTCGGCTCTGCCCAGTTGCTGTGTAAACTTGCCAGCGACTTTGTTTACACAGACGAGGTTAAAACTACCTACCCAAGCCTGAGCAATGGCAGATGCCCCTCCCTGCCCTGAGCTCGAACATTCCAGGTGGAGCTGAGACTGCTGTGTTTGCTGGCTGCGAGAATTTCAAGCCAGTGGATCTTAGCTTGCTGGTCCTCCTGGGGGTGGGATCCTACAAGCCAGATCACTTGGGTCCCTGGCTTCAGCCCCTTTTTTTTCAGGGGAATGAACAGTTCTGTCTGTCTGGCATTCCAGGAGCCCCTGGGGTATGAGGGGAAAAAAAAAACTGCTGTGGCTAAAATGGCTGCCCGTTTTTTTTTTTTTTTTTTTTTTTTTTTAAAATGGGGGGTTTCACCATGTTGATCAGGCTGGTCTTGAACTCCCGACCTCAGGTGATCCCCCTGCCTTGGCCTCCAAAGTGCTTGAATTACAGGTGTAAGCCGCCACGCCCGACCGGCTGCCCAGTTTTGTGCTGGAAACCTGGGGCGCTGGTGTTTAGGCACTGGAGGGAATCTCCTGGTCTTTGGATTGTGTAGACCATGGGAAAAGTGCAGTATCTGAGCCAGAGTGTCAGGAAGAGTCCCTACTGGCTTCCCTCGGCTAGGAGAGGGAGTTCTCTGGCCCCTTGCGCTTCCCGGGTCAAGCAGTGCCCACTCTACTTTGACTCGTCCTTCTTCAGCTGCACCCACTGTGTAACCATTCCCAATGAGATGAACCAGGTACTTCAGCTGAAAATGTGAAGATCACCCACCTTCTGTGTCACTCTCACTGGGAACTGCACCCCAGAGCTGTTCCTATTCGGCCATCTTGGCAGAAACCCTAATATCTATTTCATAGAAATGTTGTGAGGATTAAATGAGCTAATGGACTAGTACATGTTAAAGGTGGAGAAAATAAGCACATACATGTTTGGTAGTGTCAGCAGCTATTTATTTTTGGGCTTTCTAATTGGTACATGTCAGTAGAAGACAGAGCAATGATCTGGATTCAAGTACAGTTGTCCCTTATACTTGGGTGTCCTTGGGGGATTGGTTCTGGACCTCCCACCCTCACCCCATGGTTAAAAAAAGTCATTGTTGCTCAAATCCCCTATATAAAATGGCACAGTATTTGCATATAACTTAGGCATATCTTCCTTTAAATTTTCTGATTATATGTAATACCTAATACAATATAAATGCTGTGTAAATAGTTGTTACACTTCAGGGAATAATGACAAGGAAAAAAATCTGTAGATATTCAGCACAGATGCAGCCATCTTTTTAAGTTTCTGAAGATTTTTTACTCATGGTTGGTAGAACCCACAGGCTCGGAGGGCCAGCTGTGCTTCGAAAACAATAGGTTGTGGCTGGGCGCAGTGGCTTACACCTGTGATCCCATCACTTTGAGAGGCTGAGACAGGAGGATCACGAGGTCAGGAATTTGAGACCAGCCTGGCCAACATCGTGAAATCCTTCTCTACTAAACATACAAAAAATGAGCTGGGTGTGGTGGCACATGCCTGTAATCCCAGCTACTTGGGAGGGTGAGATGAGAGAATCTCTTGAACACAGGAGGTGGAGGTTGCAGTGGGCCAAGATTGAGGGTGAGACTCCAGCAACAGGGTGAGACTCAGTCTCAAAAAAAGAAAAAAGAAAATACTAGCTTGTGTTTTATTAGAAAGGAAATTCTGTCATAAGGAAGATGCATATGTGTTATGAAATTGGAATCTTTTATTCTGTGGTAATCCTGGCAATATTAAGGAATTAGAGCAGATTAAGGATTCAGTAGGAGACGTAGGACCAGTGGTATTGGATTTATACTATGACTTTATGGAGAAGGATTCTTTGCCTAACTTGAATCATTTGAGAGACCTTCACTTTCAGTGTTGGGGAAGAACTTGGCCGAGCAGGAGTATGTTTGCCTAACTTTATTAAAGGAGTAGTGTTCTGTTGTTCTAGTAAAAATCTAACACTTGTGATTGAAATTGTCCCTCCTCTTCTAGAAGATTGAGCCTCAGAAGATTATAGTAAAAGCAAAAAGTTAGCCTGACTAGCTTTTTTTTTTTTTTTAGGTGACAGAGTCTTGGTCTGTCACCCATGCTGGAGTACATTGGCATGATCTTGGCTCACTGCAACCTCTACTTCCCGGGTTCAAGTGATTCTCCTGCCTCAGTTTCCTGAGCTGGGAATACAGATGCCCGCCATCACAACCAACTAATTTTTATATTTTTACAAAATTACAAAAAGAGACAGTTTCATCATGTTGGCCAGGCTGGTCTCGAACTCCTGACCTCAGGTGATCCGCTGGCCTGGGGCTCCCAAAGTGCTGAGATTATGGGCGTGAGCCACCATGCCCGGCCTCTAACTAGCATTTTTGAAAGTTTTATTTACTTTGGATGTTTTAGGGCTGAAACTCTGCTACGAACCGTGTCTGTGTTATCCAGTGGTGGCCTGAGTTCATAATAAGCCAGAACCATGATCTTGAGGCTTTTTGTATGTAGGAACTCCTGGTCTCTACTTGTTTTCCTAGTTTCTGCTCTTTATGGAATTGGGTATGGGTGGAGAGTTACTGTCTCGCTGTTTGGTAACCCCAGGTGTAATGAGTTGTCAGCCATCTATGATGAGTATGTCTCACATTCCTGTCCTCTTTGCCTGATCTAGGTGACAATTCCTAGCTTGAGAAAAGAATTGTTTCCTTGATTATAAGATTGACTTATACAATCCTTAACTAGAAATAAGAGTGTATTACTATGTGTGTCTCTCTTAACAGATATGAAAATGGCTGTGCTTATTTCCACGAAGAGGAAAGAGAAGGACTTGCAAAGATATGCAGGCTTGCCATTCATTCTCGATATGAAGACTTCGTAGTGGATGGGTTCAATGTGTTATATAACAAAAAGCCTGTCATATATCTTAGTGCTGCTGCTAGACCTGGCCTGGGCCAATACCTTTGTAATCAGGTAATGTGTTATAAGGGGGCTATTTTAAAGAAATAATGTCTTGTTTTATCCTGAAAAATTTAAAATTGACCTGTTTCTCTAGTTGCTGTTCTTTTTGAGTGATAGATGGTCTTATATGCTTTTGTCATATTTTTAAAAATTACTGAATTTAGAAATAAAGAATATGTGGTAGATTACCCAAGGGCAACCACAGCCAGCATTTTCTTTCTTTTTTCCCAGACTTTAATCGAAGCATTTGTGTTTATATGGTTGTATTTGGCTCTTTTCACTTACACTAAAACAGGAATATATCATATTTTAATAATAATTAGTCAGAGTATAGTTTATTTTTAACGCTTTCATGGTATTTCTTCAAGTGATTATATAGTAATTTAACTGTTTCCCTTTTGGATAATTAAAAGTGTTTGCATTCTTTTGCTTTCTGTGACCATTTTCAGGTCATGCTCTTTGTGTAGTGCTGTTACGGACTTCTCTGTGCATAAAGCTCTTTCCGTATTTTATTTAGAGTTAGGGTCCTCAGATGGATTTTCAGAGTCAATCTAGAATTGCTGGATCAAAGAGCATGGCCATTTTTAAAGTTCATGGTGCTTCTAGACCAAGTGCGGGGACTACATTGAGATAAGACATTGTTTTAACCCTCTTTACTAAGAACATTTGAAAGCAAAACCCATAGGGTTGGAGGGTTCCTCTTTTGTAAGCTGTAGGATTCCCAGTGGGGTATATGGGAGACACTCATTGACTTTTAAATTGATTCCGAACTGTGATCACCGGTGGCAAGAAATCATGTCTTCTTCTTGAGAGTGTACAAAATGGGGAGTTTAATAATAATCCAGTGAAACATGAAATAACACTTAGTGTCTACTGCAAGCCAGGCTCTCGTGGACCCAAGGCTGTTGGGGGAGAACAGTTTAACCTTCAAAAGATGTGTGAGAGTGTTGTGTTGAGAAAGGCAGCCGGCAGAGCAGCATATGTAAGATGGTTATGTTCATGTTTCTTAAAGTGTGTGTACCCTTTATACCTATGTGTTTGTACCTAGAAAAAGATATACATTTATACCTAGAAAATATCAGAAAGGTTGTGTATTAAACTGTTAACAGGGGTAGATTGGTGGCTTATAGGGTAGGAGGCTAGGCATTTTCACTTTTAATTCCAGTATTTTTTTGATAATTTGTTTTACTTGGATGTGACGTTCATAATTTTTTTTTTTTTTTTTTTTTTTTTTTTTTTTGAGACGGAGTTTCACTCATGTTACCCAGGCTGGAGTGCAATGGCGCTATCTGGGCTCACCGCAACCTCTGCGTCCTGGGTTCAGGCAATTCTCCTGCCTCAGCCTCCTGAGTAGCTGGGATTACAGGCACGCACCACCATGCCCAGCTAATTTTTTGTATTTTTGGTAGAGACGGGGTTTCACCATGTTGACCAGGATGGTCTCGATCTCTTGACCTCGTGATCCACCTGCCTCGGCCTCCCAAAGTGCTGGGATTACAGGCTTGAGCCACCGCGCCCGGCCCATAATTTTTTTAAAAAATTCTTTAAGGAGCAAAATGTGCTTGTTAAATTTTTGGTCTTTGAATGATACCAACTCTTAGTCACACTGCACAATATGCTGCAACTGTTTACGATTCCTAAATCTAGAAACTCCTTAAGGACTTGGAAGCTAAAAATGAAGAATATAAAATTAAGTTGACTGTCATTGTCTCCGTGCATAACACTGACTTTGCTTCTCTTGAGAAATGTACATCTGCTAATCCATATTTATTACTTTTTAGGGGTGGGCGGACCCACAAATAAGATACTGTTCTTTGAATGCCTTTAGCTGGTGTTATTTACCAGTAATGCTTGGAGAAAGACTCCAAAACTACCCCCACTGACTACTTAGTTGTTGCTCTGTTTGCAAAAGTGTTTCTGTTATATTCTAGAATATACCAAAGATAGTTACTTGACTCATTTAGAAAATTTTACGTTATATCCTCTTATGAGGCACTTGGAAAGTCACCCTTTCTTTTTTGGCTTGGCTTTCTAAATGTACTTTAACATCTATTTATAATATTAAGAGTTCCTAAGGAGAGAGATTTTTGAGAAGAATAATCATGGCTGTCTTAGAGCCACAGCTTTTTGCAGTCCGAAGTGAATGGTGCAGAGAGCTTTCTTGTCAGGTTGCGTGTTTCTTCTTGCAGCTCGGCTTGCCCTTCCCCTGCCTGTGCCGTGTACCCTGTAACACTATGTTTGGATCCCAGCATCAGATGGTGAGTTCTGCTTTTGGTTTGTAAAATAACGTGGGATTGTGTTTTGAAACTACCTTCCTTTCAAATGAAGTTCTGTTTGCTGGCCTCCAGATAATTAGTAGCTTATTCATTTATTGCTTGGATCTTTCCGTCGTGTAATATATGCTTCTATTAATATGTGAATGTCCATGAAGGTTGGCTGGTATATAGGTTAGGAGCACCTGGCTTTTAAGGAGTCTTATAATTACTGTATCACCTACTTTAAGTAGAAACCTGGCAACTCAAGCACCAGAAGTTTCTTCTAAACCTCGTACTTATATGAATTAGCACTGTTGCCTGGATTTATGAATGGGCAGATTTTGAAAATGAGGTTGTTCATTGTAATCATGAGATTGACTTCTGCTTATATTTAGACATGTAGGTGATAAATCTCTCCTTAGTAATTCTAGAAGGAAAAGGAAGGGATGGATTTTAGAGTTTGTATTTCTTTTGTCAAGGTAGTTTTATTTTCTAGTTCAGGTACATCAATGAGTAATAGTAAAGATACATTCTTGGCTGTTTGAGGGGAGTTGAGAGAACATTTCATTTAAATGTAAATGTCTAAAACCAAAGAAATGTTCCTGCATATGTACAGTGTTTACATTTAATCTTGTTTAACTGATTTTTCTAGTCTTTAAGGAAAATTGATTTTCACATCTATGATAGAAAACAGAAAAATTGTCAAGAGTAGGAATTGATTTGACTGATTACTTTTGAGAGTTATCTGCTTCTTTTATAAGTCATAGTTTTTCATTTTAGAGGTTTTATACGGGGCACCTCATTTTTTAATTGTTTGTTTTGGTTCCAGGATGTTGCCTTCCTGGAGAAACTGATTAAAGATGATGTAGAGCGAGGAAGACTGCCCCTGTTGCTTGTTGCAAATGCGGGTAGGTAGCATGATGCTGAATCTACCATTTTGAATATATAGGAGTGAGGCTGAGTCCTTAGCCGGGCGGGAGTGGCTCATACCTGTAATCCCAGCACTTTGGGAGGCCGAAGCAGGAAGATCACGAGGTCAGGAGATCAAGACCATCCTGGTCAGCATGGTGAAACCCTGTCTCTACTAAAAGAAAAAAGAAAAAAAAAATTAGCCAGGCATGATGGTGTTCACCTGTAATCCCAGCTACTTGGAAGGCTGAGGCAAAGGAATCCCTTGAACCAGGGTGGTGGAGGTTGCATTGAGCTGAGATTGTGCCACTGCATTTCAGCTTGGCAATAGAACAGGACGACTTCTCAACCAGAAAAAAAAAAAGTCTTAAGGAATGTTTGTGTGCCACATGTTTAAGATAGTCTGTATCCACATTGTAGTAAAAACTATAATAGTAAAGTTGGCTCATTAGATTTTCTTTAATCGTTGGTTTTGAAAGTTATTTTATGTGTACGTATACTTTTTCACTTAGATTGTAAATGCTTCTCTATCTTCTCCTTCATGTATTTCCTTTCTCTGTTCTAAACTGAATTTTATTTTATTTTTTTGAGACAATGTCTCACTCTGTTGCCCAGGCTGGAGTGCAGTGGTGTAGTCTCAGCTCGTTGCAGTCTCTGCCTCCCAGGTTCAAGTGATTTTCCTGCCCCAGCCTCCTGAGTAGCTGGGATTACAGGTGCGTGGCACCATGCCCAGCTAATTTCTTATATTTTTAGTAGAGATAGGGTTTTACCATGTTGGCCAGTCTGGTCTCTTGACCTCAGGTGATCTGCCCACCTCAGCCTCCCAAAGTGCTGGGATTATAGGCATGAGCCACTGTGCCCAGTGTGAATTTAAAATGACACTTTAAGCCAGGTGTGGTGGCACGTGCCTATAGTCCCCCTACTCAGGAGACAAACAGGATGTTGGCTTAAGCCCAGAAGTTGAATAGCAGCCTGGGTAACATAGCAAGACCCCATCTCAATAAATAAATAAAAATAATTATACTGGCATTGTGAGATTGTTGTAAAAATTAAATGAGAAAATTCATAAAGTCTCTCTCACTTAAATATCTACCTTACAGGTGGCAGAGCAACTACCACTTTCTGCTCCATTTATTGTATTCAGCATCATACTTGAAATCTAAGTGAAATAGGCAAGAAAAATAAATGACATACAGATTAGAAAGGAAGAAGTAAAACTGTGTTTGCAGGCATGATTGTATAGATGGAAGGTCCTAAAAAAACTAAAGAAAAGCTCCTGGAACTAATATTAGCAAATCTATCCTGCTTTCTGGATTTTTATATACTAACAAAGAACAACTGAAAATTTTATTTAAAATGTCATTTATAATGGCATCAAAAAACATGAAAAATTTATGGATAAATTTAACAAAATACATGCAAGATCTGTACATTGAAAACCAAGAATGTTACTGAGAGAAATTCAAGAAGACTCAAGAATGCTATGCCATACACGTGTTAGAAGACTAAGTATTAAGTCAGTTTTTCCCAAACTAACCTGTAGAATCAACTCAGTCCCTATTAAAATCTCAATAGGTGGCCGGGTGTGGTGGCTCACGCCTATAATCCCAGCACTTTGGGAGGCTGAGGTGGGTGGATCACCTGAGGTCAAGAGTTTGAGACCAGCCTGACCAGTATGATGAAACCCTGTCTTTACTGAGCATAGTGGCATGTGCTTGTAATCCCAACTACTAGGTAGGCTGAGACAGAATTGCTTGAACCTGGGAGGTAGAGGTTACAGTGAGCTGAGATCGAACCATTATACTCCAGCCTGAGCAGCAAGAACAAAACTCTGTCTCAAAAAAAAAAAAAAAACTCCACAGGCTACAATTTATTGTAGAAATTGATGAGCTAATTCTAAAGTTTTATAGAAATACAAGGGATCTAGGAATAGCCCAAAGAATTTTGAAAAAGAACAAAATTGGAAGACTTATCCTATCATATTTCAAGACTTTTTATAAAGCTACAGGTTTATAAGACTCTGTGAGTAATCAAAGAGAATAGAGAATTCAGAAATAGACTCATATGATGTACATGGTCACTTCAGTTTTTTACAGATGCCTACGTAATTCAAGGGAGAAAGGACAGTCTTTCCATCAGCGGTCTTACAGCAATTTGATATTCATATGGGAAAAAACTGAATCTTAACCCTTATCTCATTCTTTGTATATATAAAAATTAAGTATAAATGGTTCATCAACCTAAGCATAGACCGAAGACAATAAAATATCTCAAAGAAAATAGAGGAGATTTTGTGACCTTAGGTTACATTTCTTAGGACACAAAACCTGTGAACCATAAATTGTACTTTATCAAAAATTAAAAGCATTTGCTGTTTGAAAGCCCCTGTTAAGAAAATGAAACGTAAGTTAAAGAGTGGGAGAAATATTTGCAAAACAATTTTTTTCTTTTTCAATTTTAATTTTTAATTTTTTTTGAGGTGGAGTCTTTCTCTTCCCCCCAGGCTGAAGCGCAGTGGGGTAACCTTGACTCACTGCAATCTCCACCTCCCAGAATCAAGCAGTTCACCTGCCTTACCCTCCCAAGTAGCTGGGATTAGATGCCATGCCTGGCTAATATATTAATATAATATTGGTAGAGATGGGGTTTCACCATGTTGGTCAGGCTGGTCTTGAACTTCTGACCTCAGGTGATTCACCTGCTTTGACCTCCCAAAGTAATGGGATTACAGGTGTGAGCCACCACACCACTGCACCCAGCCAGCCACTGTGTCAGGCCTGTCTGTTTTAAATTTCATTTTTAGTCTTTTCTTGAAAAGCTACAAAACATTTTTTGACAACTTGTATCTAAAATACATAAAGAACTGTTATAACTCAATAAGGAGACTAGCAATACAATTTTTTTTTATTTTAAGATCGAGTCTCATTCTGTTGCCCAGACTGGAGTGCAGTAGCACAGTTTTGGCTCACTGCAACTTCTGCCTCCCGAGTTGAAGCGATTCTCCTGCATTAGCCTCCCAAGTAACTGGGATTACAGGCATGCACCACCACACCTAGCTAATTTTTTTGTATTTTTAGTAGAGATGGGGTTTCACCATGTTGGCCAGGCTGGTCTCGAACTCGTGATCTCAGGTATCCGTCCACCTCGGCCTCCCAAAATGCCAGGATTACAGGCATGAGCCACTGTGCCTGGCCCACAATACAATTTTTTTAATGAACAAAAGATTTGAGCAGATGCTTCACTAAAGAAAATGAAAATGTGTAAGTACTTGAAAAGGTGCTTAACATCGTTAGCCATTAGAGAAATGCAAATTAAGATCGAAATGAGGTACCTACTACATGCCTGTTAGAATGGAGAAATTAAAGGTGACTCATGACTGTAATCCCAGTACTTTGGGAGATTGAGATGGCAAGATCACCTGCCTTCAGGTGTTCGAGACCAGCCTGGGCAATGTGGCAAAACCCTTAGGAAATCTCTACAAAAAAATACTAAACATTAGCCAGGTAGTAAATAGAACTATTGATACACATATTAGCATGGATGAATTTTAAAAGCATATATAAAAAGCCAGATAAAAAGTTACATAATATATGATTCCAGTGATAAGAAATTCTTGAAAAGGCAAAACTGCAGTGACAAGCACATCAGGATTTTCTGGGGCCAGTGAGGAGTCAGGAAAAGGGTAATTGGAGTGGGGAGAGAGATTTGGGGGTAGATGGAAGTATTTGAGGGGTGATGGAATTATTCTGAATCTTGATTATGTTGGTGGTTACATGCTCTGTATATTTGTCAAAACTCATTGGACCGTGCACTTAGGTGAGTTTTATTGTGTGTAAATCATACTACAATAAAACTGCTTATTTAGGCTGGCCATGGTGGCTCATGCCTGTAATCCCAGCACTTTGAGAGGCCAAGGCGGAAGGATCACCTGAGGTCAGGAGTTTGAGACAAGCCTGGCCAAAATGGTGAAATCCTGTCTCTGCTAAAAATGTAAAAATTAGTCCAGGCATGGTGGCTCACACCTGTAATTCCACACTTTGGGAGGCCGAGATGGCCAGATCACAAGGTCAAGAGATCGAGACCATCCTGGCCAACATGGTGAAACCTTGTCTCTACTAAAAAATACAAAAATTAGCTGGGCGTGGTGGCCTGCGCCTGTAGTCCCAGCTACTAGGGAGGCTGAGGCAGGAGAATTGCTCAAACCCAGGAGGCAGAGGTTGCAGTGAGCTGAGAGCGTGCCACTGCTCCCCAGCCTGGTGACAGAGCGAGACTCCATCTCAAAAAAGAACCGTGTGTGTGTGTGTGTGTGTGTGTGTGTGCACGCGTGTGTATTTAGCCTGTGTGGTGGCAGGTGCTTATAATACCAGCTACTTAGGAGGCTGAGGCAGGAAAACAGGTTGAACCCAGGAGGTGGAGATTGTAGTGAGCTGAAATCATGCCACTGCATTCCACCCTGGGCAATAGATTGAGACTCCGTCTCCAAAAAAAAAAAAAAAAAAGCCACGTAAATACTCACTTTATTGCCAGCAGGAAAACCATCACTTCCTGCCTGACTTAATACTGTTTAAAAACACAAATTCACTCATATTCAGTCAACATGATAAACTGGAGGGCTGCAGTTGGCATGTGACTGAGTGACTTGCCAGTGTGATTATGCTGCAGGTGCCAGAAGACACATCTCAAGGGTTAGTCAGCAGACGTTGCCCAGAAATATGAAAAGAGAATCGAATGCAGTCCGGGCACTAACGCACAGCAGTATACGCTTTTATTTTGCCGGAAGGACCATTTGGCACAACCCATGCATTGGCGTTTGATCTTGTTTCACCTAAACCAAATGTGTCTGTTAAGATTTGTTTTTTTTTTAATTTGAGGTAGATTTAGGTGTGCGGGGGAGAAAGGTTTTAGCCCTTTTCCTGTCATAGACCTTACAAAAGAATCACTTTCTTTACTTGTGTTTGTTGAGGTTGTTGGTGAGGGTTTGAAATCTTCATTAGCTGGCTTGCTGCTAACTGAAAATTGAGGATGGTTGGGGGAATGCATGACTCCACGTTTCACCTAAGCTTTCTGGGTAAAGGGGTCTTCCCAGCAAAATCTTCAGTGCAGTCAATTACCAAGGGAGTGGCTGAAAGTGTTTAATATGCGTAAGCTGGCTTCAGAACGAATGCATGTTCTGTATTACAAAAGTCCTGGGTGGAAAAAAACCAAATTTACCTATATGTTTTTGTAAAGGGCATATCTAAATCAAAATAATCCAGGAAGTGACAATAAAATAGAATGGTGGAAAAGTTGATCTTGAACAAATGCTGACAAAATGAAAGTACCATAGCAATATTAGTATGGGATAAAATAGACTTCATCTTGATGAAAGATGTAATCTCCTAAAAGAAATAACAGTTAGGAATGCTGGTGAACATAACTTTGAAATATATAAAGGAAAGCTAAAGGAAAAGTCTGATGGAATACAAGTATGGATTGACAAACACAGTCTCGGAAGACTGGAATATATTTCTCATGGGTCAGCAGATCAAGTGGATAGAAAAGAAGTATGTGAAAGATTACAATAACACAATTAGATACATGTAATAGAGTTTACATACTCTTCAAAACTTGTAATAAATCAACTTGCAAACATTTAAGCACTTCCACAAAGAAAATCTCAGTAAAACAGGGATATAATAAGTCATTTCCCTCCTAGGGAGGTAATGTGTATAAAAGTGCTTCAGGTACAAAGCCTTAGAAAACATTCATTCCTTTTATTTGTTTTATCCTAGGAACTGCAGCAGTAGGACACACAGACAAGATCGGGCGATTGAAGGAACTCTGTGAGCAGTATGGCATATGGCTTCACGTGGAGGGGTAAGCCGGCGGTGAGGCTGGTGGCTCCAGTTGGGCCTGCACAGAGTCCTCGTGAGGACTGGACAGCCAGGCTCTCACTTTGTGGTGATATTTGTCACAAAGGGCTCTTTGGGCCACAGATTACAAAATAACCCAAATTGGCTTAAGCACAAGGAGATTTTATTGGCTCATATAACTATGAATACCAGTGTTAAGACTGGCCTCAGGCATGACGTCAGCCAGGATTCAGTGTCTTCCTCCCACCTCTGCTCCCCCAGTCACAGGCACTGTTTCCTCTGTCTGTGGACAAACCTTCCTGTTACAGTGCAAAGCAGCTGCAGAAACTCCAGTCTTCTTTCCAGCGTCATGGTCAGCTGGAAGTCCCAACTGAAGGCTCATACTGAACTGGCCACTGTGGCCAGGGAGAAAGAATCATCTGATAGTTCAGGTTCTTTGCCCTCCTCCGGAGCAGGTAGTGCTGTCTCCTCCCCGCAAAGCTCATGTTCTGCTAGAGGAAATGGGGGTGGCGCCCCAGAAAGCTGTTGGAGGGCCGTTAAGAGAAGCAGGGGGAACGGAAGTGAGGCGGCCAGAGTAGGCCATATCCACCACATCATACAGGGAGGTTTGTTTTTTATCCCTAAGTAAAGAACGATGACTGGAAAATAGGATCCGTGAAAGAGAATAATAGTCCCCTTATACTAAATGAGCAGGGGTAATTCCTGAAACACGTTTTCATTAAAGTGCATTTTCAAGATTTCCTGAATTTGTATAAACCACATCTCCTGTTGCTGTTATAAAAGCTAATAACACATTAAAAAGATACTTAAATGTCACCTTGCAACAGCACAGCCTTTATTTTTTTAAGTACATAGTGAATAAGCAACAGTAAATCATTAGTTCTTAGAGTGGTGTTTTTTCTTCCAGCGTGAATCTGGCAACATTGGCTCTAGGTTACGTCTCCTCATCAGTGCTGGTATGTTGTTGATTTACTGAATATTGGTGTTTGTAAGAAGGAATTTAAAATCACTCAATCCCTGATGGCTCTTCACAGTTTTTATGAATGGAGGAGGATGATGGGTTTATGTGTTCTGATAATCTAACAAAGAGTTGTTTTTGTTTTGGTAGGCTGCAACCAAATGTGATAGCATGACGATGACTCCAGGTCCGTGGCTGGGTTTGCCAGCTGTTCCTGCGGTGACACTGTATAAACACGACGACCCCGCCTTGGTACGCTTCCCCTCACTGGGGAGGGAGCACACGTGGCTAAGTACACATTATTTGGCCGTGGGGGCCAAATACAGAAAAATAGGGAAAAAGTGAAAAATATCCTTAGTTTCACTTCTGTTTCATTTTTTTAAAAAGAAGTTTGTAGTGTGAAACTTTTCGGTGACACTTTATGATTGTATAATATTCTGTCACAATATAACTATTCTCCATTTACGAACTTTTAGGATGTTTTCAGATTTGTGTTACTGAAATAATGAGGCAGCAAACATCTTTCTGTGTTTCTGATTATTTCCTTAGAATAGGTTCCCAGATGTGGAATTACTGAGTGGGGGAATTTTAAGCCTCCTGATCCAGATTGTCCAACAGGTTTTTTTTTGGATATGGAGTCTCGCTCTGTTGCCCAGGCTGCAGTGCAATGGTGAGATGATCTTGGTTCACCGCAACCTCTGCCTTCTGGGTTCAAGCAATTCTTCTGCCTCAGTCTCCTAAGCAACTGGGATTACAGGCATGTGCCACCACATCTGGCTAATTTTGTATTTTTAGTAAAGGCAAAGTTTCACCATGTTGGTTTGGTTGGTCTCAAACTCCCGACCTCCTGATCTGCCCACCTTGTCCTCCCAAAGTGTTGGGATTACAGGCTTGAGCCACTGCGCCCGGCCACATTTTTTTTTTTAAATCATAGTTATGGGCTGGATGTGGTAGCCCATGCCTGTAATCCCAACACTTTGCAGAGATGAGGCAGGCAGATCACTTGAGCCCAAGAGATTGAGACCAGCCTGGGCAACATGGTGAAACCCCCTCTCTACAAAAAAATACAATAGAATTAGCCAGGCATGGTGGTGTGAACCTGTAGTCCCAGCTTACTCAGGAGGCTAAAGTGGGAGGACTGATTGAGCCCTGGAGAGCAAGGCTATAGTGAGCTGTGATTGCACCACTGCACCCCAGCCTGGGTGACAGAACGAAAATGAAACCCTGTCACCAAAAAAACAACAACAAAAAAACAACATAGCGTGGTTCTTGATAATAGTCAGTGTGAAAATAAGGTTTAAGTGATTTCTGCCCAAACACTGTGTGCCACGTTGCTCAGCTAATAATGGCCAGCCGTTTGAGGATGTGCAGAGCTACCATCGAAGTGGGAAGTCTCTTGAATGGCTGGGTTCTGGGATGTGACCCATCGGAAGTTTTACCCTGGCTTTGCCGCTCTCTTGCTGTGAATCCTTGGACAAACCAAGGTCTCTGAGTGAAGTTATGTAGAATATTTAACTCAGAGTTATTGGAAGATCAAATGGATAATGCAAGCCAAGTCACTAGTATGGGATCTAGCTCATACTAAGTCGGTAGCAAATGGTAGCTGGCTCGTTTTGTTTTGAGATTGCAATGGCTTTGATTAATAAACCTCTTTTGGCTTTTTTAGACTTTAGTTGCTGGTCTTACATCAAATAAGCCCGCAGACAAACTCCGTGCCCTGCCTCTGTGGTTGTCTTTACAATACTTGGGACTTGATGGGATTGTGGAGAGGATCAAGCATGCCTGTCAACTGGTGAGTAGAAGCCTGACGTTTAAAAGAGTTAGAAAGACTCCTTGGCCAAAGCAGAGACAGAAAAACATCTCATTTCTGTACTTCCATCCAGAGCCTTGCTGTCTGGTGAGGCAGTGACTAATCACCCTGCATGTATATCTTTCTTTTTCAAAGTTCTGGGAGAAACTGCTGGGTTGTTCCAGCATTTGTGTGCAGATGAACTAAGATGAAAAGGAACAGCATTGTCAGCATGGGATCAGAAGAGAAGTCTCATGATTTCCAGGGAGTGGAGAAGGGTGCAAAAGGTGGAGGGTGGGGGAATGAACGTTCCCCTTGATGGACGGAGTCTCTGCAGTGAGGGAATAGGAAGGTTAGAGGGTAGTTATGGAAGGCGTGGATGTTTTGAAAACCAGCTGGCTCGGGTTCCCAATTTGCAGGGCTCTTGGGAACAATTCTAATTCTCTCTCCATTTTAGGTGTGTTCTAATTGTGTGAAAAATCCATAGTTATGCTATAGTTCAGTGTCTTAGACCATTCGAGCTTCCATAACAAAATACCTTAGACTGGATAATTTATAAACAATAGAAATTTATTGCTTACAGTTTGGGAGGCAGGAAGTCTCAGATGAAGGTGCCAGGAGATTCCGTGTCTGGTAAGGGCCCGTTCCTCATAGACAGCACCTTCCATGTGGCCTTACGAGGCAGAGGGGATGAATGCACTCTCTTGAGCTTCTTTTAGAAGGTCACTAATCCTATTCATGAGGGCTCCATCCTCATGCCCTGATCACCTCCCAGTGGCCACAATTCATTTGGGAATGGGATTAGGTTTCAACGCAGGAATTTTGTGGGGACATAAACATTCAGACTTTTCTAAATAGCATTTAGAAAACAAAAGAACAAGGTCATGTGTACTCAGGGTTAGAGCTGAGCCTTGCCTAAGCTCAGAAGTGTGTCATCTCCATTTTCTTACCTGTGAAGTAGAAATCATACAACACAGGATTACTAGGAGGGCTCGAAGAGCAAATACAGGTGGAGCTTTTGCGGTAGCGTGTGTTCATATAGTAAGTTATGCATAAGGCTTGAAATCTTTGTTTTAAATATATTCTTGGGGAGTTGGCACTGCCTCAAGTATTATTTCTTCATTTAAGAAAAATAGGCCAGGTACGGTGGCTCACGCCTATAATCCCAGCACTTTGGGAGGCCGAGATCAGGATCACCTGAGGTCTAATCACCTGAGGTCAGGAGTTCGAGACCAGCCTGTCTGACATGGTGAGACCTCTGTCTCTGTTAAATTAGCTGGGCATGGTGGTGGGTACCTATAGTCCCAGCTACTCAGGAGGCTGAGATAGGGAAAATTGCTTGAACCCAGGAGGCGGAGGTTGCAGTGGGCCAAGATCACGCCACTGCACTCCAGCCTGGGCAACAGAGCGAGACTCCGTCTCAAAAAGAAAACCCACAAGAATAAGTAATTTCATACTGCTCTAGCTGTAGTCCCTTGCTTCATGATAAGTTAGGATAGTTTAACAGTTTTAAGATTTATGCACTGATCTAGGCAGGATGTCTCATGCCTGTAATCCCAGCATTTTGGAAGGCCAAGGCAGGTGGATCACTTAAGCACGGGAGTTCAAGACCAGCCTGGGCAATGTGGCGAAACCCTGTCTCTACAAAAAATACAAAAATTACCCAGGCATAGTGGCGCACACCTGTGATCCCAGCTACTGAGGAGGCTGAGGTGGGAAGATCACTTGAGCCCAGGAGGTCAATGATGCAGTGAGTCCAAATAGCACTACTGCACTATTCCATTCCAACCTGGGCAACAGAGTGAGACCCTTTCTCAAAAGAAAAAAAAGATTGATGCTCATGTTTACAAAAGCACTGCATTTTTTGAAAACTGTCTCACTGTGCTATTAGCTCATGTCGTGAGATGTGGCTCTTAGGAAAAAGAAGCCTTTATTGCCTTAGTACTTTAGTTTAGAGATGGTTTAGGCGCTCAGGGGAGATTTTTTCAATTCCCCTTGGCTATGGAGTGCAGGAGAATAATAATGCCATTAACTGCCAAACCCTTGAGGTCACCACAGCTCTGGCATCTTCCCGGGGATTCGAACGCTGCCCTGCTGCTGACTCACAGGCTAAATGCATATTAAAGGGCATGGACATTTACCAGACATGGCAATCTGTATATATCTATGCCTTATAGTCCACAGTGGAGCATACATTCTCTGAGAGCGGAAATCAGCATTCTCCCCTCATCCTCCTCCTTCCTGTTCTTCTCACTCTCTCTCCTCCTTTCTCTTCTGTAGTAATTACTGAACATTCACCTCAGTGTCAGGCACCATGAAGTACTTTCATGCAGCATTTCATTTGATCCCTGCAAATTCACCAGAAGGTAATGTCCACTGATGACAGTATATTCAGAATTAGTTTTTTTTTTTTTTTTTGGAGATGGAGTCTGGCTCTGTTGCCCAGGCTGGAGTGCAGTGGTATGATCTTGGCTCATTGCAACCTCCGCCTCCCAGGTTAAAGTGATTCTCCTGTCTCAGCCTCCTGAGTAGCTGGGACTACAGGCCACCACATCCAGCTAATTTTTTTTTGTTTTTGTTTTTTTTTGAGACGGAGTTTCACTCTTGCTACCCGGGCTGGAGTGCAGTGGCGCGATCTCGGCTCACCGCAACCTCCTGGGTTCAGGCAATTCTCCTGCCTCAGCCTCCCGAGTAGCTGGGATTACAGGCACGCACCACCACGCCCAGCTAATTTTTGTATTTTTAGTAGAGATGGGGTTTCACCATGTTGACCAGGATGATCTCGATCTCTTGACCTCGTGATCCACCCGCCTCGGCCTCCCAAAGTGCTGGGATTACAGGCGTGAGCTTCCGCGCCCGGCCCTAATTTTTATATTTTTAGTAGAGACGGGGTTTCACCATGTTGATCAGGCTGGTCTTGAACTCCTGACCTTGTGATCCGCCCACCTCGGCCTCCCAAAGTGCTGGGATTACAGACATGAGCCACAGCGCCTGACCAGAATTAGTTTTCTTTAAGAAAAAGAAAAAAGGCCGGGCGCAGTGGCTCACACCTGTAATCCAAGCACTTTGGAGGCCAAGGCAGGCAGATCAGCTGAGGTCGGGAGTTCAAGACCAGCCTGACCAACATGGTGAAACCCCGTCTTTTTAAAAAAAAAAAAAAAAAAAAAAAAAAGAAAAAGGAAAAAGGAATTTTCTTGAGCAACTTTCTGCTGTCCAGTAGTCAGTATCTGTTGAATTAATGTACTCCAATCCCATGGGTTAGATACGATTAGTGATGAGGGACTGGGATTGAGACATTAGTCTAGCAATGCTACATTCTAGACCCTGTTTCTAAGCACTTGCTGTATTCTATATTATTGTATATCAGCTCGTTTCATCCTTACAGCCACATGAGATAGATACCATCCTCCCCATTTTATAATTGAGGGAACTGAAGCAGACAGGTTAAATAGCTGGTGACTGGCAGATGGAGTGACTTACCTGTGGTCCTGCAGGTGGTAAGTGGCAGTCTGTGCTCTTATTGCCAGCTCTTGAGCACGCCGTGGCCTCTCAGTTGTCATCTCCCCCAGTGTTCGGTACTGTGCCTTGCACATGTTTATACTCAGTAGCTTTTGAATGAAAGACAGACTTACACTGCAAATACAACAGATTCCTGTGTCTTACTAGAAGCTGCTTTTCTTGAATTACTACATGTAACTTTTAAATGAAAAATTGGGGAATATTTGCAGATGTCGAAATACAAAAACGGGTGGCTGAACTTAGAAACCACCAAGTCGCGTTTGACTTTTTGTCTGAGATCTGCGTTTGCAGACCTCCACAGCCCCTCGTAAAAACTGCTTCTTCGTGTGCTGTGTCCATCTAAGGAAATTACATGCGCTATTTTTTGTCATTTGCAGAGTCAACGGTTGCAGGAAAGTTTGAAGAAAGTGAACTACATCAAGATCTTGGTATACTATTATCATTTCATCTGTTTTCAAAACAAATAACTTTTTTTAAACTTCAGCAACTTAGAATGATTTTCTCCACATTGGATGCGTTTCAGTGGATTTGTGGTAGCTCCACTAAAAAAACAAAAATTGTGCCTATATTTATGACCTAATTATACAGTGAGCCTGAAGTGAAGAAATTTGTAGCATATAATGTTTAATTCTTACGGTCATTTTCATATATTTCATTTATTGTGTTAATGTTTAGAATTGCATGGAGGTAAATACCATTGACTTCAGATGCCCAAGGCCTTAGGCACACCCATCTTCCTGAAATGAAAACTCACTTTGTATCTCACAGTGCTTTGGGCTTCTCTTTCTGAAACCTTCTGCCATCAGAGTTTTCCTTTGCATGAAGCAAGAGAAAGAGAAAAGCACATGGTCCTGCCCTTGTCTTCTGCTGTATCTTCCCGAAGTGAATCCAGCAGAGATTGCTCCCTAGGCATAACTAGACAAATAAGGATTTAGGAGAGGTAACCGCCAGAGTGAGGATCAGTTCAGGTTTAATGTTTCTGTGTTTTGCTTCATTGTATTTTAGAACTTCAGGAAATAATGTCAAATTCTGATTTAGATAGGTTCATTCAGTGTTTCTTTGACAATTCTACAAGGTATGGTTAAGTTTACAACTAGTATTTGAGTGTATTTGGGGTTCAAGTTAGTAGAGCTTATTTTTCTTTTAGAACATGGTTTGGTCTAAATACGAAAAGCTGGGTGTGGTGGCACACGCCTGTAGTTTCAGCTACTGGGGAGGCTGAGGTGAAAGAATCGCTTGAACCCAGGAGGTGGAGGTTGCAGTGAGCCGAGATTGTGCCACTGCACTCCAGCTTGAGTGACAGAGACCCTGTCTCAAGGAAGAAAAATTTTAAAAATGGTTTGGTTTAAGGGGGTGGCTACTCCTGCATTGCCTTCTGAGTTAGAGTCTTGAGCCACTTGACCCGAGTTGTAGCTGGGATTGGGGTTGTAGCCTTGGATGAGGACGTGGACTGCTGGAGAAACAAGGAATGAATGTAGGAGGCTTGGGCTCTGCTTCTAGCAGTGCCACAGGTTGGCCCTGTGACATTGAGTCATTTTCTTTCGGGGCCTACGAGCTCCACTGTCAAAGATGGTTGGACTCCTCTGATTGCAAACAGAAATGCAAATTATGGCCTAGATTGAGCAAGCTGTTAGGAATGCAGGCGGTGCTGGGCCTGTCTGCTTTCCCGCCCCTGCTGTGCAGATCCCACTCAGCTCTTCCTTAGTCCTCACTACCCCCTCGTTCTCATGTCGGGCAACCCAGTGGTGCTAGTTAATCACCAGCTGTTTTGGTGCATCTCTGTAGACCACACTGGCCCAGGCAGAAGGCCTGCTCTGTCCCTGCTTCCAGTGGCTGTTTTTTCAGTAGAGCATACAGTAATTGGCAGACACCATGAAGCATTGTGGCTTGTCATCATCATCAGCAGCATCATCTCCACCATCCCAGCTGCTGCTTGTGAAACGTGTGCGTGGTACCACATGCGTATTTCCTTCAGCCCTCCCAACAGTCTCCTTTGTACATGGGGTACACCAATTCTTCTAATGACTGGTTTCTTATCTTCCAGATCCTGATTCAAATCTCACCTCTTTAGAAAGGCCTTTCCTGACCCCCTAAGATAACTTCTCACTGTCAGACATCACTCCATCCCCTGGGTCGTCTTCATCCACTTTTTACTATCCGAAATGAAATCTGTTTGTTTTTTCCTATAGAAGCTTTGTCAAGGCCTTACCCAAGACCCTTGCCCTGAAAACCCAGTGCCAAGCCCCAGACATGCTCCTCACCCCCTGCTGTTCAGCTTACAGTCATCTTTCTGTTTCTTCTTCTTTGTGGATTCACCCTTTTTTGTGTGAGCCCAGCAATACTTTAGCCTTTTTTTGGTTCTTGGTTATATTTAATCCAATATTTTCGATATTCGGAATTGATGATTTCAGTATTGGCTCAGTCTACCATATCGCTTGAACCGGAAGTGCCTCTAGTCCTGTGTAATATTTCTTAGACACATGTTGACATTTGAGACTACTGAGTTCAAATACTGAGTTCAGAAAAAGAAAAGATGATCATAATATACATCAAAGTTTTGGCACTCAATTCATTCTGCCTTCTCCTAACTAAGGATGGGAGAATGGGTGGATTATTTTGGTGCCTTTTTGTTCCTGCTTGCTTATTGGTCTTGCTCCCCTATTTAAATATTAAGCCCCGGCCTATACTTTTTAAAGTATCACATTTTATTTGTCTCTGTGAAAGTTAAAGATGATAGATGTGAAGGCGCTTAGCACAGGAACTGGCTCCGTAAATAACTAACACATTAGAATTCATATCCTGCTTGATCTGAATCCTGTACACACGGTCCTTTGAAAAGTTAGGAGAAAAGATCTTGGGCCACCACTTCCTGTCTTTCCAAGTTAGCGTTTCCTGTTGTGGCCCTGCCAGTGAGTCATCACACTCAGAGCCTTGGAACAGAAGCTTTATGACTTAGAGTTATAGTACTGGAATTGTTGGATGCTTAGAGATCTTCTCCCCCAGGGCGCCCACACGCCCCTGTAAGCACCACAGAGGCTGCCAAGGACATGGCTGCTCATGGTACCCTGACCTCAGGGGCTTGACCAGGTCAGGGTATACTGCTTGATGCAGAACAGGAACTTGGTGCCAGGTTATCATAATGCAGTGAAGGTTTTCATCTGTTAGGAAACTCATGAATGAAGTTAGTCATCTGTGGCCTGTCTTAATAATAAGCACATATATTAGAAAATACATAGATGCAGTTCTCAGCTGTGCTTGTCTACATTGCCAGCAGGATTTGCATCTTGTTCCAAAAGTTTTACAAAGGGGAACAAAGTACTTGTTTTACCCCCTTTTTTCTATAAATATAAAAAATTCTAGTTGGTCAGGCATGCCTGTAATCGCAACACTTGGAAGGCCAAAGTAGGAGGATTAATTGAGGCCAAGAGTTGAAGACCAGCCTGGACAACATAGGAAGACCCCATCTATTAAAAAAAAAATTAAGTTTCAATAAATCCTGCATAATTTCTGGGATTTTTGAAAGCACGGGCTCTCTCAGCACTGAGTCTCCTGTTACTGCTTCTTACTAGTTTTAATCTTTAATGTTAGACCTGTGTTTGTCCCTTATTAAAATTTCTTCCTGCTTTAATTTCAATGTACCAGTGTCACATAGCTTATAATTCACAGTAGACTCTCAGGGCTGGTTCATAGTTATTTTTAAAAATTTGATTTTTGTTTCTCTAGCAACTGAAATATTTGAACTTCTTAATGTGTTTATTTATAAATAGAGCATCTCTAACCTATTTTTCGAACTCAGCATTTTGTTTTGAAGGTGTCTGGAGTTTAATATGAGACTTCCATTCTTCCAGGTAGAAGATGAGCTCAGCTCCCCAGTGGTGGTATTCAGATTTTTCCAGGAATTACCAGGCTCAGGTAGGTGATTTTTAAAAGAGGGTTATTTTCTTTCTTCTTCTTCTTTTTTTTTTTTTTTGAGATGGAGTCTCACGCTGTCACCAGGCTGGATGGAGTACAGTGGCATGATCTCAGCTCACTGCAACCTCTGCCTCCTGGGTTCAGGCAATTCTTGTGCCTCAGCCTCCTGAGTAGCTGGGAATACAGGCATGTGCCACCACACCCGACTAATTTTTGTGTTTTCAGTAGAGACAGGGTTTCACCACGTTGGCTAGGATGGTCTTGATCTCCTGACCTCGTGAGCCTCCCACCTCGGCCTCCCAAGGTGCTGGGATTACAAGCATGAGCCACTGCACTCAGCCAACAGGGCTATTTTCATATCTGTGTTAAAGGCTTTGAATTTGATACTATTTCAACTTAAATAGATAGTTGAAAATATTTTTATTCCTAAAATCTTCAGTCATCATTTCAGAAAAATGTAACAATTTTTATGAAAACTTCAGCTCGAAATGCCTTAGCATTTTGCCGATAGTTTGCGGTGATTAAACAATCAGCAAATAGTTTGGGGTTCCCAAAATAGTTTGGGTTCCCAAATGCCAGTCCCTGGACAGTCCTGGAATGGCTGAGAGTTGTTTGAACATAAAGATTTGTGGGTCTTAGCTGGGTGCGGTAGCTCATGTCTATAATCCCAGCACTTCGGGAGGCTGAGGCAGGCTGATTGCCTGAGGTCAGGAGTTTGAGACCAGCCTGGCCAATATGATGAAACCTAGTCTCTACTAAAAATACAAAAATTAGCCAGGTGTCATAGTGCACGTCTGTAATTCCAACTACTCGGGAGGCAAAGGCAGAATTGCTTGAATTGGGAGGTGGAGGTTGCAGTAAGGCAAGATCACACCACTGCACTCCAGCCATCTCAAAAGAAAAAAAAAAAAAAGTTCCAGGTGCCACCAACTTAGTCCAGGGCACCACTCTTTTTTACCTGGATGGCCATTGTCACCTCTCAACAGATCTCAGACTTTCCTACATTCTGCACAGCGCATTCCAGACCATCTTCCACCTGGCAGAGTGAGGGTTGTAAGCAGAAGTCACATGGTGTTGAAGCAGGAAAGGTTCCCTTGTCCTCCTCACAGTGCATGCAATGGGGGTGTGGCTTCACTGCCCGGCTGTGGCTCAGACCTCTAGGAGAGCATAGAGACAGGCAGACTGTGGGGCTCCTACCCCACGGTAGCATCTAGGGTCGAATGTTTACAGCTCCTGAGGCCCCCGTGGGCGTGTTACAGGGTGCTCTTTTAATTTAGCCGTCCTTAGGTGGCTCGTTTTAGTTGGCTCAGTTAGACCCCCTTCCTTATCATGAGGACAGAGGGATTCATGTATCGCCGGTTCTTGCCTTGGTGTACTAGAGGAAGCGGATCACACTTGGGCTTGGAGAATGAGTGCCCGGTTTTATTGAGTGGAAGTGGCTCTCTGCTGATGTGGAGGTCAGAAGGGAGATGGTTTTCCCCTGGAGTTGGGGTGCTTGGTGGCCCTGGCCAAACTCCACCTCGTTTCGCCAGTCGATGGCTTGGCCTACTGGTGTCTGTTGGGGTGCTCTTCTGCTGGCCTGCTTTCCATGACCAGCCTCTTGTGTCTTCCTCTACCAATGTGTTCCTCTCACCATCCAGCCACTTCTATCTGGCTGCTAGGGTCTCAGGTTTTTATAGGCCCAGGATGGGGGTGTGGCAGGCCAGCGTGGTCTTGGGAAATGCAACATTTGGGGGAAAGCAGGAATGCCTGTCGTCACCTAGGTCCGTGGGTGTAGAGCCCTAGCCAGGGACCCACCTTTCTCTCCCCAGCACTTCCCCACTTTTGTGTCATTTAAAGGGACCATTCTCTTCCCTTCCCAGCACTCCCGTATCAGTGCCACTTCCCTGGCCAGAGCCCATGGGTATCTTGTCGTTTCAGTTGAACAAAGGCCAGGCTCTTCACCACGCCCCATGAGGCCTGGCACCCTGCCCTGACTTCCCCTCTGCCACTCTCCCTCTTGTTGACGCGCGTCAGTCAGACCAGTCTTCTCTGTGCTCCAGGAACACTCTGCTCTTTCCTCCCGTGAGGCCTTCACACTTGGCGTTCCCTTTGCCTCACACACATTTCTCTCTTCTGGTGTCGGCTCTTCCTGACCATTTCAGTCGCCACTAAGTGTCTACCTCCTCAGAGCCTTTCCTGCCGGTCCTGCCTGAGGGGGCTGCATCGTACTCTATCAGAGCCCCTGCCTTCTCTCGTGGCACCAACAACCACATGGAGTGGTCTTCTTTCTTTATGGTCTGTTTCCTCAACTAAAACGTAAGCTCCAAGATGACAGACACCTTACCTGCCTTCCGTCCCATGTGCCTGGCATGGGTGGCACCCACCACAAAGCCGAGTTGGATGATCGTGGCGCTCTCACAGACCTCGCACAGTGCTCGGTAGACTAGTTAGTAACTTACAGCAAAAATGGCTGTTTTCTCTTGCAATCCCTTGAAAGCAAACCTTTTTAAAAATGAACTTACTAATTCTGTTTTATGTGAATGTATTCAAATGTTAAATAGATCACGAGGAAAAAAAAAAAAGGAAATGTAACCCTTCTGTCAGATACATTTTGAATTGAGTAACACGAGTCTGTTCCCTTGGGTTAATATTGGGATGGGAATGATGTGGGGTTGGGATAGTGTTTGTTTCGGTCAGCTGTGTTTCTGGGAGTGACTCCCTTTCTGTGTTTTGGTGTCAGATCCGGTGTTTAAAGCTGTCCCAGCGCCCAACATGACACCTTCAGCAGTCGGCCGGGAGAGGCACTCGTGTGACGCACTGAATCGCTGGGTGAGAAGTGCAGCCGCCTGCCTTCCCTTTCAGGTCCCTGGGCATCCCTGTCCGACCTGCTGGTGAGGGTGACACATGCTCGTGTATGGGAGCTGAGGCCTACAGGAGGAGCCACCCTGCGGTGCTGGGTCTGCTCTGGGGTTCTGTTCCCGGTTCCGTCACCGCCTCATGAGCTGGGTTGTCTCTGGCCAGTCTCCAGCATCGTTCCCTCAGTTTCCTTGCTGCCATATAAGGCTGTGAGACAGTATGCCAAACGTGGGCCGCAGGGCAGTTGCCATGGGTCTGGTGAGCCGGGCAGCACTGCCAGGACCCCCAGGCAGAGAGTCTGCTGAGCATCTGCGGCTGGCGGTGTGGAGCCAGGCCCTGTGCTTTGGCAGCTTTTTGGGCCCTGAATAGCAGCTGTAGGGTTTGAGTCTGAAGGGTGCTGTGAACAGTGAGGGGGCGGCAGCAGCAACAGCAGTGGTCCTAGCCAACGCTGGACACGCCCCGCCTAATGGGGTTGGCAGATAAGTCATGGCACATCCACACTGGGGCAGAGCACAGCCGTGAGGGACTACAGAGCTGAATGTCTCAGGCAGAAGGGAACTGTCACCATAAAAGACATGAAACCATGCAGGTTACTAAGCACTGTCAAGTAGCGTGTTTCATGACAACAAAAAATACAGCCCCCTCCCCGCCAGTCGCACAAAGAAAAGACACTGGGGATAGACCACATGGCAACAGTGGGTGTCGCATAGCAATGTATTGTGGGCCATTGTTATTTTCTCCTTTTGGTTTACCTGTATTTCCTAGGTTTTTTTTTTTTTTTTTTTTTACAATGAACTTGTATTTATTAATCAGAAAAGAAAGTAAAATTTACTGTTAAAAAAGCTGCCCTAAGTATTCAGAGACAGTCAAAAGATGAGAAGGAGCCAGCTCTCCGGGAGCCTCTTTGGTCTGGGCTGACTGGATGAGGGTGGGTCCTGAAGAAGTCTGAGTCCCTCATTATAGGAGGTGTTGATTCTGTCCTCCTCCCCACAGCTAGGAGAACAGCTGAAGCAGCTGGTGCCTGCAAGTGGCCTCACAGTCATGGATCTGGAAGCTGACGGCACATGTGTGCGGTTCAGCCCTTTGATGACAGCAGCAGGTAAGCAGGCTTGGTGGATGCTCTTTGCTTTCGTTGTGGGGCTGCTTGCCTTCAGGATATTCCGTTCTCCTAGAGTTATCAGCATCTGTTTTTGGAAGGGCTTTTTCTCTTTTTGAGCTAAATTTAGGTAGATTAGCGTTCCCATGTAACTTCTCAGAATCAAAATGAGACTTCAGAAGTCACCTGAATTGACCGGGTGCAGTGGCTCATGCCTATAATCCCAACACTTTGGGAGGCCGAGGCCGGCGGATCATCTGAGGTAAGGAGTTTGAGACCAGCCTGGCCAACATGGCGAAACCCTGTCTCTACAAAAAAATAAAAAATTAGCCAGGCGTGGTGGTGCACACCAGTAGTCCCAGCTACTTGGGAGGCTGAGGCAGGAGAATCACTTGAACCCGGGAGGCATAGGCTGCAGTGAGCTGAGATTGCTGCACTGCACTTAAGCCTAGGCAACAGAGGAGACTCCGTCTCAAAAAAAAAAAAAAAAAAAAAAAAATCACCTGAATTCTCTTTTTTTGTGTTGTGACAGGGTCTTGCTGTCGCCCAGGCTGGAGTGCAGAGGCAGGGTCATGGCCCACTGCAGCCTGGACCTCCTGCACTCAAGTGATCTTCCCACCTCAGGCCCTGAGTAGTTGGGACCACAGGCATGAGCCACCATACCCACCTAGCTTTTGCATTTTTTGTAGAAATGGGGTTTTGCCATGTTGCCCAAGCGGAATCCCTGTATTTTGATGTCTTGTGACCCTTGGTTTTCCACTGCAAGGGTTCCTCCTCCTAGCAGTACATCACAGTTACCTGGGGAGCTTTAGACACAACCAATGGCTGCCCACCTCCAGAGATTCTAGAATGGAGCCTGGGTATCTGTGTTTTGGTTATTACTATTTTTTTTTTAGAAACAGGGTCTCACTTGTCACCCAGGCTAGAATTCAGTGTCTTGACCATAGCTCATTGCAACCTCAACCTCTGGGGCCCAAAGAATCCTCCTGCCTCAGCCTCCCAAGGAGCTGGAACTACAGGCAAGTGCCACCACATTTGGCTAATTTTTTTATTTTATTTATTTTTGGGGGGACTGAGTCTTGTTCTGTCACCCAGGATGGAGTGCAGTGGTGCTATCTCAGCTCACTGCAACCTCTGCCTCCTGGGTTCAAGCGATTCTTCTGCCTCAGCCTCCTGAATAGCTGGGATTGCAGGTGCACACTAGCACGCCTGGTTAATTTTTTTTTTTTTTTTGAGATGGAGTGTCGCTCTGTCGCTCAGGCTGGAGTGCAGTGGTACAGTCTCGGCTCACTGCAACCTCTGCTCATTGCAACCTCCATCTCCCGGGTTCAAGCAGTTCTCTGCCTCAGCCTCCCAAGTGGCTGGGATTACAGGCACCTGCCAGCATGTTTGGCTAATTTTTAAATTTTTAGTAGAGACAGGGTTTTGCCATGTTGGTCAGGCTGGTCTTGAGCTCCTGACCTCATGATCCGCCCCACTCAGCCTCCCAAAGTTGTGAGCCACCGCATTACAGGTGTAAGCCACTGCACCTGGACTAATTACAGGTGTGAGCCGCTGCACCTGGACTAATTTTTTTTGCTTTTTCATAGAGATAGGTTCTCTATGTCATCCAGGCTGCTCTTGAACTCCTGGCCTTAAGTGATCCTCCTGCCTTAGCTTCCCAAAGCACTGGCCACAGCTCTAGAGGCTTAGTCTCTCACACTGCAAAAGCAAGCCAGTGAGCCCCTGAGGCCTGGTGCTGTCACCATCTCCCTGTGCTTCCTGTGTGGGGACCAACCCCCCACAGTACTTTCCTTCTCTCAATCATAGTAATGTATACAGAGAACCTGTGGTATGATGTTTGCAGCCTGCCAGAAGTGGGCTTTCTATGGGAAGAGTGATTTCTAACGCTGGAGTGTGTCATTGTGGGCCACATCTGTGAAAGAAACAGTCCACACCTGGTACAGCCAGCTGTGTCAGTTTCTAACCCTAATTCGTCCTTGTCGGGGTTGAATGGCTTTTTAAAAAATCTGCACGGCACCGGGTAACTGGAGTACCTCGAGCTTTTGACCTTCCCAGTAGTGGAAGAGGGAGCTCTGCCCTCTCGTCATCTACCGTCTCGAGCGTTTCTCTGACATTTTGTGAACGTCTTCAGTTTTAGGAACTCGGGGAGAGGATGTGGATCAGCTTGTGGCCTGCATACAAAGCAAGCTGCCAGTGCTGAGCTGCACGCTCCAGTTGCGCGAAGAGTTCAAGCAGGAGGTGGAAGGAACGGCAGGTCTCCTATACGTTGATGACCCTAACTGGCCTGGAATAGGGGTTGTCAGGTAAAGTCTTGGCCTGCCACTTGATGTTAGAGACTTTGCTGTATAAAGAACATGGGTGGGTCATTTTCTGAACCAGCTTAGAAATCCAAGATGAATGTGTAGTCACAATATGGTTGTTTCATGAAAATGCAGCTTGATTTTCTGGGAATTTACAAAAGCACAGTGCAAGCAGGCGATTCGGCTCACCATGGCACTCAGGGAGGGGGAGTTGCTGAATGTTCTGTCTGTAAGCGCCGACTCTCGGCTGCCTAGGAGAAGGTGCGGACGGGTATATATCACTGACAGTGGTTGCTCACCTGGGCATAATGAGAATTGCAAATCAGTTAAGGAAAAGCACTTTGGGAGGCCGAGGCGGGTGGATCACGAGGTCAAGAGATCGAGACCATCCTGGTCAACATGGTGAAACCCCGTCTCTACTAAAAATACAAAAAATTAGCTGGGCATGGTGGCGCGTGCCTGTAATCCCAGCTACTTAGGAGGCTGAGGCAGGAGAATTGCCTGAACCCAGGAGACGGAGGTTGCGGTGAGCCGAGATCGCGCCATTGCACTCCAGCCTGGGTAACAAGAGCGAAACTCCGTCTCAAAAAAGAAAAAAAAAGAAAAAGGACCAGCTCTCGAGGAGACAGAACTCCCCTGTCCTTTCTTGTTCTGTGGGAACAGTCCTGTGGCTGCTTTCTGTCGCCTTCAGAGGTGAGGCAAGTCTTTTTTTGTATTGCACGTGAGACTTCCAGACCTTGTCTTCCCTATCTACATGGACCTAAAGACTTTGGCTTTCAGCTGGGCATGGTGGCTCACACCTGTAATGCCAGCAGTTTGGGAGGCTGACAGGAGGATTGCATTATTTGAGGCCAGGAGCTTGAGACTAGCCTGGACAATATGGCAAAACCGCATCTCTACAAAAATATAAAAATTAGCCAGGGGTGGTGGTACACACCTGTAGCCCCAGCTACTCAGGAGGCTAAGATGGGAGGATCAGCTGAGCCCAGGAGGTGGTGGTTGCAGTGAGGCAAGATCATACCACCGCACTCTAGCCTGGGCCACAGAATGAGACCCTGCCTCAAAAAAAAAAAATTAGGCCTTCCTGTGACTCTTCCTTTACTCCTGGCAAGCTGTAAACCTGTGGCATTCTTGAAAGGTTGTGGTCTGGAGACACTCACAGTAGCTCTCTGCCCATTGGTTCTGCTCTACTGTCTTGCTAATTACTATCTAGAGGTTTCTACACCACCTCTAATCCTGTGTCTGAAGAGACATTTGATCTTTCAGACTGAAATGCTGTCGTTTAATGTTGTTTTAGGTATGAACATGCTAATGATGATAAGAGCACTTTGAAATCAGATCCTGAGGGGGAAAAAATCCATGCTGGACTCCTGAAAAAGTTAAATGAGCTGGAATCTGACCTAACATTTAAAATAGGTAATTACTTACTTTTATAAGTCAACTGTGACCTTTGGAAGGACATTTGCTAACTGGCTTTAAGGAATATGGCTCATCTCTTGGAGGGTTAGAGTCTCTCCGGCTCTGAGACCTCCCTCCCCTTCTGCAGCCTTGCCACGCCTTTCCATCCATCATGAGAATCTCCAAGGAGGAGACCCCTTTGTGCATGGTCAGGCCACTGAACAGGAGAGCGGGCCCGCGTCTCACCCACGACAGAGGACTTGGAACCAAGTCTGTCTCGTTTCCTCTGCAGGCCCTGAGTATAAGAGCATGAAGAGCTGCCTGTACGTGGGCATGGCGAGCGACGACATTGACGTTGCGGAGCTCGTGGAGACCATTGCGGCCACAGCCCGGGAGATAGAGGAGAACTCGAGGGTCTGTGGTCCCCTCAGTGTTCATTCCTTTTCCAGGTTTTGCCCCAGCAAACAGCGGGGTGTTGAGGAAAGGAGCTGCTCTCAGGACGTCTGCTCGTTCTCTGTCAGTGTTTACTGTAAGCTGGGCCTTGTGCCAGGCATCAGTGATGCCAAATGGGTTTGACCCGGCCCGTGCCCCAGTGAACACACAAGCTCAGGGGAAAGATCCACATAGCCACGCTGGGCAGTAACCGTGCCTCGGAGAAGAGGGCGGGTGGCTAGACACACAGGCAGACACATTCACCCCTACCTGCCAAGGTCAGGGAGGACTTCTGCTCTGGAGCTGGGTCCTGAGGGTGAATGAAACAGGTGCTGCTTTGTGTGTGGTTTCCCCCACACTCCTCCCCCACAGCACTTCCCACCTGGGATAGACCTGCTTCTGTGGGTCCCTTAGGGTGGAGGACCAGGCAACAAGGCTGACAGGGTGTCCTCCAAACAAACGATTACTTCCCTAAAAAAAATCACTCAAAAGGAGATAGGAAGGGACCAAGGTAAGACTGCTCTGACAGGAGACGCATGCCATTGGAAATGCGGCTGAAAGCCAGCTTTGTTCATTCTTGGGTGGACTCAAGGTTTCTTCCCAGCCTGACTCTGACTTCTGTGTTTTGAAGAATATTGAACAGTGCTTGTTTTCTGTTTTTTTTTTTTTTTTTTTTTTAACCTGATATGCCATTTGGGTGATAAATAGTTATTTCTTCTCTGTTCCCAGCCAATGAGGCTGGTCACTAAGGTGTGTCTGCCTGGGCCTCTGTGAGCATTTCATCTGCTTGTCTTTGTTTTTCTATTTTCTTTTTACACTGGCATTTCAGTGCAGGATTTCATTGACCTGCTTTTGAAAATTCCCCCAGTGCCTCGTTACTAGCTCTTCTGGGCCCCAGGCAAGAAGCTTAAAGTAATGCCTTTCTTGGTCTTACCACAGCTTCTGGAAAACATGACAGAAGTGGTTCGGAAAGGCATTCAGGAAGCTCAGGTCGAGCTGCAGAAGGCAAATGAGGAACGGCTTCTGGAAGAGGTGAGGCTGCCGATGGCAGCAGGTTTGGGGTGCCGCCGCAAGGCCAGGCAGCCCAGAGCCCCGGTCATGTCTTGCAGGGGGTGTTGCGGCAGATCCCCGTCGTGGGCTCCGTGCTGAATTGGTTTTCTCCAGTCCAGGCTTTACAGAAGGGAAGAACTTTTAACTTGACAGCAGGTAGGAGAGCGTAGCCTCCGCCCAGGTCTCATTGACCTTGGGAGGTTTCACCGAATGCCCTTGGGTTCCAACACTCCTCCCGCTGAGAAGCCCGGCCTGGTTCCCGTTCTTCATCGCTGGGTATGGGCTGGGCATCTGAGGAGACATGGTCTGGCTGACCCTGTGCCCTGTCGTCCTCCCTGCACATCCTGGCGCCTGAAACAGTAGGGAAGCAGTTACCCATTCCCCACGGCTGCCGCCACCACAAGGCCATGAGGACACGCCCACTCAGCCGTGCAGATTCTGAGGGTGCTGTCTTGGGCATTTTGGTTCAGGGCTCATACTTGTCGTCCTCGTATGTTTTGCCCCAGCAGGCCTGCTTTTGAAAGCAGCAGTGCAGAGACTGAAGCGTGGAGCACTGGCATGGTTTATTCTGACCTGGGCAGCCAGCAAGCGTTGCAGCCGCTGGAGTGTGGGGAGGATGTTATAGTCTAGGTCTCCTCCTTTCCTCTTCTACCACGGAAATAATTTCCTCCACCCGAGGCCCACCCTTTGTTCTTCCCCAAAAAAACGATTACTACATTGTCATGAAAGCAAAAGATAATCTGATTTCTGATCTGCCAAGCCTTAGCTTTCAGCAAAGAGGCACCCACTTCTTGTGGCTTCAGTGCATTTGTTAGGCCCGGCTCCCCCGGTGCACTTACGCTGCACTGCCGGCCAGTGTTGGCAGTACTGGCCCTGGGAGCCAGCCTTCTCTTGGCACATTCGTTGGTGCCCGCGTCTACACCAGTCTGTGGCAGGCTCAGTGTCTGAAAGGTTATTGGGGAGCAAGGCTGTGTGAGGGCAGGTGGCGTGTTTTCAAGGCAGCCTGTGCCTGCAGCTTCCACCCCAGCTCCCTACTCTCCTGCAGGCTGTCTGGAGTCCACAGAACCTATATATGTCTACAAAGCACAAGGTGCAGGAGTCACCCCACCTCCGACGCCCTCGGGCACTCGTACCAAGCAGAGACTTCCAGGTACGTGACACGGCCATGCAGAGTTCAGGTAACAGGTTTCCCCTGTTGGCTGTTACTTGCATTCCTTTGTTTTCTGGGTTCTTTAACTCCAGAGGTCTGTGTATCTTCACTTAAGACCAACTACTACCATCTTTTTAACCATTTCAGTAGCCAAGGAGTTCATCCTTGGAGAAATCCCTTGGTAGCACCCCAAGGGGGAAGTGTGGGGTCTTGAAGATGACACCGTCACTGTGGTGTTTCCCTCCCGGGCATTTCCTAGTGAAGATGGCTGCAGAGATGCCCGGCGTGGAGCACGTGTTGGTGTCATGCTAGCAGCTCCCGGTTTTCTCTTCAAACAGTTCAGAGCCAGTAGTGTTTTCTGCTGAAGCCGTGTTGTAAAATAAGGCAATTACCTGTTGCACAGACAGCCTGTGTGGCAGAAGCATACTCACCGAGCTTTCAGCGCCGTCTGTCTACCCTTTCTCTAGGCCAGAAGCCTTTTAAAAGGTCCCTGCGAGGTTCAGATGCTTTGAGTGAGACCAGCTCAGTCAGTCACATTGAAGACTTAGAAAAGGTGGAGCACCTGTCTGGCGGGCCGGAGCAGATGACCCTTGAGGCCAGCAGCACTGAGGGACACCCAGGGGCTCCCAGTCCTCGGCACGCTGACCAGACCGAGGCCCTCAAGAAGGGGGCCCTGCGCCCAGAAGTTGACCACCCACAGGTAGAAGGACTGGAGAGCTTAAGATAAGATTCAGTGTGTGGTTTGAGACTGTACTGAGTATTGTTTCAGGGAAGAGAAGTGATACCGGAAATGTGAACTGTGCCACATACTAATACAATAGAAATTACTGTTATTTGTGCTTCACTGGGATTTTTGCACAAATATGTGCCTGAAAAGTAGGCTTTTTAGGAGGGCAGTCAACTTGTCTAACCTCTTGTGTGTGTAGACTCACCAGGAACTGTATGCTGTCCTACTCAGCTGTAGTAATACCACTTTTTCCTAGGTTACCGTAAACACTTTTTATTCACAAAAAAACACTTAGAATTTCAAGTGTCTGCCACTTGAACGTTCGCTCTTTCTAAACATAAGCAGAAGTTATGAGGTTGCACATGGCAACTTTTTGGTAAACAGCTTTTCGTTAGCACTCTCCAGGTTCTCTGTGACACTTCAGAGAGGCAAGACTGGCCGCATCCTTTGTTGTCTGTGTTAGTCGGTCTCTAGTGTGATAAACTTGTAATGCACAACTAGACTGCCAGGCTTGAAGGAGCATGGGTGCTCTGGGGAGTGTAAATCAGAGCATCAGAAGCCCTCTCCGACTATCCCCCGCTGCTGCTCTTCCTGGAGACTTAGTAAGGACTGTGTCCACTTGAGCTGTGGCAGGGCTTCTGTCGGGGACTGTGCCCTGCCACAAACCCACTTCTCCCTTTGTATACTGTTTGTTTGTAAACAAATTTAAGGACTGATCTATTCAGAGAAACTGTAAAGTCTCCTCCTGACCATATATGTATATTTTTAAATACTGGTAAAGCTTTTAAATTGGCACACAAGTACCAACTGTGCTCATTTTTATGTTTAGTATCTAAAAAACCTGATAGATGCTACCCTTAGAGCCTGCTATTCCAGGTGCTGTGACGCACCCCCCTGGGTTAAAATCTGAAAGCAAGTACCCTTTGACCTTCCCCTACAGAAGCTCCTGTAGCTTCTACTGCCCTGGCACCTCACCTGGGCCCAACTCGGTCATAGGCCAGCAGGGCACTCTCTCATGCTGATCAGCCAGGCTCCTTGCTTAAGTCAGTAGAAGCTCACTCTTACTGCCCGTTACTACTCTTCCGAAGTACTGGCCCCTGTGCCTTCTTAGTCCAGCAGAGTCAAGCTTTTGGGAGACCTGAAAATGGGGAATTCACACTGGGTTTGTGGACTGTAGTACTGGAAGCCTTAGTTATACCACATTCAGCCTATAATTACACTCTGATTTGATGGGATTTTTTTGTTTTGTTTTGTTTTTTTGGTGCAAATGATTAAACAAAGTCTTCCCTGTTTATTTGGTGCAATGAAGTATAGCAGATAAAATAGGGTTGGGGTAAATTATCACCTTTAACAAGATTAAATGTTTTTATATATATTTGGAATTGTTAAATTGGTTTTGCTGAGACATTTCACCCTTGACATACTATTTGAATGCTGGTTTCAATAAAGGTTCTTGAAATTGTTACCAGTGAATCAGTTTATAAACCTTATTATAAAAGACTTACCCAAGTATCTGAAATAGCTGCTTATCTACCAGTGGGAGATAGATAGGTTCTTCTCTGCTGACCAAAAAAAGCTAGCTAGAGATGAACTTTTTAGTAAAGCAAAGTCTCAACAAATGCCTTTGCCAAAATAAGGTTTTATTTTGAAAGTCATTTGAAAGACACTGAGAAAGGAAGGAGACCTAAGACCCAATGGATGTAGGTTCCAAATTCAGATTCTTGCCAGCTCCGCCCATGGTCTCTGTCAGGCCAAGAAGGTGCTTTCTTTGGTAATTCCTATTTTTTAGTTTCCTGAAGAGATCTTTTCCCACAAGCCATCTTCATTTTTTTTGTAGACTAGGGCTTTATTTCCAGGAAACAATGTATTAGTTGGAGATGGGTATTTTTTTAAAAACATCAAGGTAGATCTAATATGTTCAACAAAGTGGGGTGGCTCGGCCAGAGGCGAAGTGGAAAGATTCTGAAAACACAAGATGGTGGGCATAAGTCACCTTGCTCGGCCCTGCTTTGATAAAGATGTCGAAGCATCTTTATTCTTGGACACATAAATATATATAGTAAAATACGTAAGAAATGGAGTGGCATCGATTAGTAAGAAAAAAGTTGCTTACTGATTTACCCACACATATTTCCATCTAGGACTCGACATATGCCCAATTGATACACAAATTAAATGGGGTCAGTGGCATCCAAAAAGTAACTACTACACGCCGAAGGGAAAGCAGCTATGACCTGGTCTAAACTCTTTTGTCTTACAGGTGGGAAAACCAGGGTCCACAGATTTAAAACTTAGCTTGTAAATTCTCACCTCTAGTATTTGCTTGTCATCTTGCTGCAACCAGAAATCCACATGTGGAAATGGTGTCCAGGAGTACGGTCCTATACGAATTTGTTCTGTCTCTGCATCGTAAATACTAATCATCTAGAAAAGAACGTGTCAAAGAATTTGAAGAATGTCACCCACTTTTCACACCCTCCCAGCAACGCAAGCTCCAGTGTAGTCTAGCACTTTCAGGAATTTATCTGCCTGATAAGCTTCTTAAAAACTGTCTCTAATACCAAAAGCTGCCACCTACTAAACACATCTAGTGTATCTGCTACTGCAGGCTGTGGGTCCCATACGTGGCTGTTGGCTGTTTAGTGCTGACAACAGTCCTGCAAGACAAGGGTGTTTTTTTCCCATTTGGGGTGAAAACTTGAGACTCAGAGAAACGGGGCCCATTTCCCAGGTCGCCTGTCTGGTAAGCCTCAGAGCTGGACCTCAAAGCCAGGTGCATCTGACTGAAGTCTGTGTTCCTCATTGCCACAGAGAACACTGCCTCATTATTTATACCCCAAGCAACTGATCGCTTTGCAATTTAAAAGCATACAGTGGGCCGGGCGTGGTGGCTCACGCCTGTAATCCCAACACTTTGGGAGGCCAAGGCGGGTGGATCACGAGGTCAAGAGATCGAGACCATCCTGGTCAACATGGTGAAACCCCGTCTCTACTAAAAATACAAAAAATTAGCTGGGCATGGTGGCGCGTGCCTGTAATCCCAGCTACTCAGGAGGCTGAGACAGGAGAATTGCCTGAACCCAAGAGGCGGAGGTTGCGGTGAGCCGAGATCACGCCATTGCACTCCAGCCTGGGTAACAAGAGCGAAACTCTGACTCAAAAAAAAAAAAAAAGCAAAAAAAGCATACAGTGCCTGGTGCCCCAACAAAAGAAAGAACCTGATTTGCCAAATGATCCATTCCCTGAATTCCCAAATTTGCCAGTGGTAGTCTTACCTTACCCAGCAATATATTCAGCTTTGGTAACAGACAGAAATAGGTTCTGAATATTAACTAAACTAGGGCCATTATGCTCCTTGAGAAATCCTAAAAATGTTAGAAGGGCTGGCAAAACAAATCGCTCTGAATCCCAACACTAAATGTCAGCATTTCATAAATGAGCAGATTTCTTTGGGGTGGCCTGAATGAGATTTCTGTTTTTTCACACTTTGAGCATTTTTAAAGACTTCTTTCACCCATTCCTCAAATGCCTTATACACTTTGGGTTTTCAAACTTTTAAAATCACAGTGTAATTTAATTAATTTGATCATTCTGTTGGGTTAATTAAATTGTTCCAGCAAATTGCTCTCTAGTGACCTGATCCAAAAAAAACTTCTCTCCTGCTTCCCAGGTCTCCTCTATTTGCAGGAACTTTACGTATAGGAAAGCTCTTACTAAGTAACAGAAGTTTGTTCTCTTTGAATTCGGATGCTTGGATTCACACATACCTCCCACACCTTTTAGGCAGAGAACTGGAGTCTGGAGCTCATGACCTAAAGATATTCATTACTGAGAGAGAGTGTGGGGAGGGGGCATATGTGTGTGCTGATCCTCGGTAATTTACAGCTAAAAAGAAGCTGACATACAACATAGACTTTTCTAAGACTGATAAGGCCTTGGCATTTGATACCTTTTTAAAATCCCTTAACACAAAGATGATTTCAAACTCACTGGTCCTCCTGCTAAAGCTCGCGCAGCACGCAGCTGCTCCTCTGGACCTCGATCTTGAAAGGAGGCTCTGTAAATCTCTGCAGTCTTAATGTTGACAGCTGTGAGGGACAACAAGATGACTCTGAATTAACAAAAGACCAAAGTGGAAAGCCTGCAGTCTTAATTCTCCCACCACTCCTAAGAGAAAGCTAGGAAAGTGAACAGAATGGCTCCTAAGTGTCTGGAGCTGTTCCTCCCTTTAGAGGGAAAATGCTACCCTTACCGCACGCATTTCAGTCAGGCCTGAGCTGGACTCGGTGAGATTTTGTTCTAAACCAAGAGCTGCTTTCCACATGGGAAGCAGCCATTCCTGCACTTGGACAAGTAGCAAAACCTCTCTGGTCAGCCCTACTGGTGTACAGCCAGGGGTAGGTGGGCGAACTGTTATTGTTCTGTTGGAATCTTCACAATTTCGTATTTTATACACGAAGTTAAAGAGAGTAAGACAGTGAACACCTGTGAAATAAATATCACCAATACAGCAGAAGGCCTCTGAAATATAGCCAATCTCATGCCTTTTCCACAGGAGTCCTGGGGCTGTCAAGCAGGGAGGATGGTTCTAAGTTTTCTTCAGCCTGATAGTTTCACACTTTGGACAACTTCGGTTCTCGAGCAAAACTTTCCTCGGTTCCGGAGGTATAAAAAAATTCCAGTGCCTGTCTCCCTCCCCCAGAGCACTGGCAGAAGACAAGCACACCTGCCTGACGTGCTGGGGAGAGAAGGAAACAGAGGCCAGGTGCTCCCCAGCTCCTGGGAAGGATGGGCCTGGCCTATACTATTTGCTACCACACTGCTTCTTCAAAGTCTTAAGACATGAACATTATCTCCATTTTGTAGGTAAAGCTTACAGAAGTTAAGCTACTTGCCCAAGGTCTCACAGCAGATGTTCAGCGGAGCTGGGATCTGAACCCAAGGCTGTCCCATCCTGACAGCAGTGGTTTGCTGAATTAGCTTTAACCGCACATGTGCCAAGCCTCCAACCCACAAAGATGCACACTACTTACCAATGCCATATATTATTGGAAAGTGGTTTTCGTTTTCTTCCCGGTCATTTAATTCTACAAAATAAAAACGTTTAAGATACTTTTTAAACAAATACCAAACAATTATTTTTATTTTGTATGATAAAGGCCAAGGAGGAACCCCTCACTGCAGAAAGGGAGGAAAATCCCAGAAACTGAAAGGGACTGTGACCCTGTTTCCCTGCCCTACCCCAAGGCGGGTGGGTTTATACTGAACAAACTGGCATATGCAGAAGAGGTCCCTAATCCCACCCCACCTTCTCCATGCACCCCATCTGCCACACAGGTGGCAGCTGTGAGATCCAGTGCCCTCCTTCCTGGGAGACGAGGCACACTTGAGGGGGCTGCATTGGAACTGACACCGGGCACCGTGGCAATGGCCATCCCACCACAGCAAGAGCTGGAACAGACGCCGGCCAAGCAGTGACAGCAGTATGTGCCGGTGCTTGGTCCCGCTGCAAGGCTGGGGGCAAAATGGTCCTGAAATGCACAGCTTCGCTTTGGGACAAATAGCAGAACTTACCTGTCACACATAATGTCACTAAGTGAATGTCATCTTCTTGCCTGTCAAATTCACCTACGATGAGAATTTTAAGACTGGTTATCAGAAAAGCTCCTCTAGTTACCAGAACAAACTGCTGAGCAAGCCAAGGACAAGGAGGGACAGCAGCCAGCTGAGTGTGCTTTGCCCCACACCCTCTTGCCCACGCCCAAGCAGCCACAGCCCAGCCTCTGGGGCCAGACCCGAGGGAGCTGACGCTGCAGAACCCTGACCGCCACAAGACGGCCACATTCAGCCTCAGGCCCCAAGGAGCTGGGGCTGAGCCTTCCCATTTTTCTCTTCATTCTGAGAGTTTTGCAGGGACCCATGGATTCATAGATTTTTACTTTTCTCCTAAGTAACCTGTTTTCCTGATTATCGGAGTTGTAAAAACAAAAATCTGGCCTCTGTAACAGATTTGAAAAGTACAGGAAAGCATAAGTCAGTTTTCAACATCCGTAATCCTAGCACTGTTAATTTTCTTCCATATTTTTCCGTGCTCAGCAGAGCTGACCACAGAGACAATGTTACATCCAAATTTTTCCGTGCTCAGCAGAGCTGACCACAGAGACAATGTTATATCCTTTTTTTAAAAAAAAAAAACAAAAAAAACATGGAGTCTCGCTCTTTTGCCCAGGCTGGAGCGCAGTGGCGCCATCTCGGCTCACCGCAACCTCCGCCTCCTGGGTTGAAGCGATTCTCCTGCCTCAGCCTCCAGAGTGGCTGGGATTACAGGCATGCATCACCACACCCAGCTAATTTTAGTATTTTCAGTAGAGATAGGGTTTCACTATGTTGGCCAGGCTGGTCTTGAACCCCTGACCTTAGGTGATCCCCCTGCCTTGGCTTCCCAAGTGCTGGGATTATGGCCACTACACCCAACCAGGTATAAACCTTTTTTAAGAGTTATGTCGGCCGGTTGTGGTTGCTCATGCCTGTAATCCCAGCACTTTGGGAGGCCAAGGCAGGCGGATCACCTAAGGTCAGGAGTTCAAAACCAGCCTGGCCAACATAGTGAAACCCCATCTCTACTGAAAATAAAAAAAATTAGTCAGATGTAGTGGCCTGTGCTTATAATCCCAGCCACTCAGGAGGCTGAGGCAGAAGAATTGCTTGAACCCGGGAGGCAGAGGTTACAGTGAACCGAGACTGAGCCACTGCACTCTAGCCTGGGCAACAGAGTGCGACTCTATCTCGGGCAGGGGGGTGGGGTTGGGGGGAGAGAGTTAAGTCATGATGCCAAATTGCTTTCTGGACAGGCTGTACCATTGTATGAGGAAGCCTTCCTCATGGCCTGGTGGATAGTCAACACAGAACAATATCATCTTTATTTTTTGAAAATATTTGCTAATTTAGGCAGGGTGCAGTGACTCACGCCTGTAATCCCAGTACTTTGGGACCTGAGATCACCTGAGGTCAGGAGTTCAAGACCAGCCTGGCCAAGATGGTGAAACCCCATCTCTACTAAAAATACAAAAATAGGCCGGGTGCGATGGCACACGCCTGTAATCCCAGCACTTTGGGAGGGTGAGGCAGGCGGATCACAAGGTCAGGAGATTGAGCGCATCCTGGCTAACACAGTGAAACCCTGTCTTCTCTACTAAAAGTACAAAAAAATTAGCCAGGCGTAGTGGCACGTTGTCTGTAGTCCCAGCTACTCGGGAGGCTGAGGCAGGAAAGTCGCTTGAACCCAAGAGGTGGAGGTTGCAGTGAGCTGAAATCGTGCCACTGCACTCCAGCCTGAGCAACAGAGCAAGACTGTCTCAAAAAAAGAAAAAAAAAAAATACAAAAATTAGCCAGGCATGGTGGTGAGCGCTGGTAATCCCACCTACTCGGGAGGCTGAGGCAGGAGAACTGCTTGAACTTGGGAGGCGGAGGTTGCAGTGAGCCAAGATTACGCCACTGCACTCCAGTGTGGGCGACAGATCAAGACTCCATCTCAAAAAAAATTGCTAATAGGGAAAAATGGTATCAGTATTTTAATTTTCTGCAGATTAAAATGGACATTTTTGCTAGAACGGAGGGTAGTTCTGTTTTCACACAGTTTAGAGCACTTACGATTTTGGAATGTATCCACTGCTACTTTAGTGGAAAATCTTGTCCCTACCCCTGCTACCCTTACCCTCTACAAATGAGGCCCATGCTATTCCGTCTGTGAAATTCCAAGCTGGGCCAGTCTGTTGCTCTGCGCTGCTCCAAGTGGGTGTGTCATCTAAGGTTTAGAACCAGTTGGGATTTTTAACCGAAGCAAAAACAGGTACAAATTTATGTCCAATATGGGGGTGGAAAAAAAACAGTGAACTTACTAAGAAGTTGATGAGTGAGTTTTTGTGACAACTGCCTGTCGTCATTGAAGCCTCCCACGAGGTGCACTTCCAGCCTGGCAAGAGATGGGACAGGGGTCAGAGGCCAGAACGAGACACCAGCGCATGGGCTGGTCTCACTCTGAACTTTCACTCTCAGCTTCCGTGAGCCCTTGTTCTACAGCAGGGCTTCCGGGTCCTCTTCGTGCCACCGCAAAAGAAGGTATCTGCAGCATGCTTCTAAGGCCAATAGGAAGTTTTGGGGACCCTGCCTGAGGGCCCCGATGACTGAAGGGATCCGAATCTAAACACAAACATGAGGCCGCCTCCATGCAGCAGTGAGGAGCTCCGCTCTAGAAGAGTATGAGCACAGGACGGGTGTGGTGGCTCACACCTTTAATTTAGCTCTTTGGGAGGCTGAGGTGGGCGGATCACCTGGGGTAAAGAGTTCGAAACTGGCCTGGCCAATGTGGTGAAACCCTGACTATACTAAAAATACAAAAAAAACTCAGCCAGGCCTGGTGGCATGTGCCTATAATCCCAGCTACTCGGGAGACTGAGGCAGAAGAACCACTTCGACCTGGGAGGCAGAGGTTGCAGTGAGCTGAGATCTCACCACTGCACTTAACACTGCCTGGGTGACAGAGACTCTGCCTCAAAAAATAAAAGAAGAGGCTGGCCACGTCACTCACCTGCCCAAAGCAGGACACTGCCAAAACCCACCTCTCAGTGTCCTGCCCAGGAGCAAGTACGGTAAGACAATGGGAGGGGCCTGCCGTTAAGTAGACATTTCACAGGTGCCGTCTCCTCTAATGTCCACCATATCTTGGTGAGAGGGGGATTATCAGCTTCATTTTACAGAGATACATGCTTATGAACCACTACACGTGATTTTCCTAAATTGTGTTTCCCCCTAGCCTCATGAGATGGGGAAATAGTGTTCATGAAGTTAAAACAAAAGTTTGGGGCCAGGTATGGTGGCTTATAATCCTAGCATTTTAGGAGGCCGAGGCAGGCGGATCACTTAAGGTCAGGAGTTCGAGACCAGCCAGTCCAACATGGTGAAACCTCATCCCTACTAAAACTACAAAAATTAGGCTGGGCGCAGTAGCTCACACCTGTAACCTCAGCATTTTGGGAGGCTGAGACAGGTGGATCACAAGGTCAGGAGTTTGACACCACCCTGGCCAACATGGTGAAACCCCATCTCTACTAAAATTACAAAAATTAGCCAAGCATGGTGGTGCACACTTGTAATCCTAGCTACTCGGGTGGCTGAGGCAGGAGAATTAATTGAACCCAGGAGGTGGGAGGTTGCAGTAGGCCGATATTGTGCCACTGCACTTCAGCTCTGGGCCACAGAGCAAGACTCCTTCTGGGGGAGGAGGAATTAGGCATGGTGACGGGTACCTGTAATCCCAGCTACTGGGGAAGCTAAGGCAGAACAATCACTTGAACCGAGGAGGCAGAGGTTGCAGTGAGTCAAGAATGCATCACTGCACTCCAGCCTGGGCAACAGAGCAACACTCTGTCTCCAAAAAAAAAAAAAAAAAAAAAAGTTTGGGGGGGGGTTTGGGGGAAAAAAAAAAAAAAAAGACGGGGCCATCTTGTCTGTTGGAAGGCCTCCTTAGAAGAGTCCCACTGCCATTAGCACAGTGAAGCTGACACGTCCTGCGACTGAAAACACTCCAACAATGTCTGTGGAGCCCAGTGTTTCCACGCTCATCTACCAACCCCCTTTCCACAGCCCCTGTCAACCGGGGGAATTCATGCTTGGCAAAGCGCTGCCAGACTTCACACTGCCTTCTGGGACAAAAAATCTTCCTAAGGGATGAACCAAGACCCTGTATGTACCCAATATAGGGCACAGCCTCAAGTGGCCTCATGATCAACTCCCAAGTAGTAAAGAGAGCTGTGATCATCATGGCTCTGCTGGCAACAGGGCCACCAGGTTTGCCTCTGACTCCTGAAGCGAGCATGGCTGTTCTACAGCAGACCAGGAAAAGGTGACAAGCATGTTCTTAGAACCAAGGAGCAGAGTGTGTGGCAACATAATGGCATTGATTATGTCCCCCTGTGGGGGCCAAGATGATAGGAAAATGAAAAGGCCATTTTGGGCCTGCATGGGTCACATGGCCATGAAGCCAGCCCAGCCGTGGCATGGACTGCAGAAGTGGCATTTAAGAATCAATCAGTATTGCACTAGCAAAACTCTCCCAGAGAACTCTTTCTTTTTCCTCTTTTGACTCTTGGGATTCTAAGCCCTTGTATATGATGGGTGTAGCTCACTCAATGGCTGGCTTAGACTTCAAATAAGATGAGAGCAACGCCTGCCATGTCTACACAATGACAGAGAAAACAGAGGGGACAGGTGTATGAACACGAGTCTGGACAGCGGGCCTGTGTCCTCGGCCTCCACTTAGCTAGCTGCGTGCTCCAGCATGCTGAGCCTCAGCGCCTGCCTCTGTCAAATGGAGGCGGCAGATACTTTACTGTGAGAAGAGAGGATGAGGTGCTGTGGGACAGCCAGGCTGGCGGCCGCTTCTTATCAAGCAATCCATGCGGAAACTACCAACCTGCTGGAATTTAAAAATCCCCCCTCAGCTGGGAGGATCACTTGAGCCCAAGAGTTTGAGACCAGGCTGGGCAAAATGGCAAAACCCTGTCTCTACAAAAAATACAAAACATTGGCCGGGCATGGTGGCACACACCTGTGGTATGAGCTAGCTGGGAGGCTGAGGTGGGACAATCACCGGAGCCTGGGAAGTCAAGGCAGCAGTGAGCTGAGATCGCACAACTGCGTTCCAGCCAGGGTGACAGAGCAAGACCCTATCTCAACAACAACAACAAAGAGAAAAACAAAACACATGCCTTACCCCCTAGTGGTCCCCAAATCTCCCTGGCCTTGTTTTCTCCACAGCCTGCTTCACCCCTGAACACCCTGTCTTGTGTACTGTCTCTCGGCTTCGGAATCCGAACACCTTGGGGCAGGCTTTCCGTCTACTCTGTTCACGGCTATGTCCCTGGAAACTACAAGGTGTACGTGAGAGGAAGCAATTAACAAGTAAACACTGGAGGAATGACTGCATGAAGAGCTACCACACCTGCGATAAAAACCTCAAACTCAACGTTCCCAACGTCAAGTTCAAAGTCAAGCCTTCCATCTCTAATCCAGCATGGACTCCTTGCCTGTGCCCAGCATCCACTCATCCACTCAACCACTGCTGACACAGCGCCCATGCCATGCTAAGTTCTGCTCCGGGGGAAAGAGACAGACATGGCGGTCACAGCATCCTGTGTCACCATTACAGCTTCCGTGGCTACGTCCTCTACACAAGGGTTCAAATATCCCAATTCACCTATTAGAGTAGCATGGATCTCACCTTCCACATTGAGCGTGGTCGGAAAAGGATTTTATGGAGTTCATGATCAAGGGGACCTCAGCTTTGGTGTCGGTTCCATCACAATGTGTCAAGCAGGTGGCCCCATTACCTGAAGAACAAGGGTGAAAGGACTCAAGTTATTCCCGATGCGAGCGCAGCAGCAGGCCGAGACTCTGCTCCTGTCCCTTCGGACCGCCTCGTCTCTGAACATCCTGTAGGGAAAAACAGAAAGGGCTGTGCTGCCCAGCCAACCCATTCTGACCAGGACACCAGGGAGACACCATGCAGACCAGAAAAAACGTAAGCAGAGTCCGTTTCCAACAAGACACCAGGAAACTCAACTCGAGAAATTCAATGGTCCCAAAGGTTGGGCCACTTTAAGTAACGGTTTCCTTCACCTCTCTCATCATACCTGTGTGCCTCAGGACCACAATGTGACAAGTAGTGGCATCATCAGAACCCAGAATGGAGATGGAGCCTGTTTAAAAAAGAAATAAAATAAAATATCCAATTGCCTTTTGGGATAACGCCCAATTCACTGCTTCCTAACCTACCATCCTTTGGGGAGGTCACTGCAAGCTCTCTTTGCTGAACATACAGAAGGCCCTGGGGTCCCACTTGTTGAACAGACTGACCTCTGAGAAGTCTGGCTCTTTCCTGTTTAATTAAAAAAAAAATAAAATAGTGATGTAAATTAGTGAGGATGGAAAAACTGAAGATGTGGAGAGAGCCGAAGCGGGCTCTGCATGGGCGGCACACTAGTGTGTTGGAGTGTGTTAGCGGACAGAGAGGTTCAAAGAAAAACGTAGCAGCCACAGTCATTGGGAACAATGCAGAGAAAATGATGAGGTTCTGGGTGGTGGTTTTTTAACCTATGAAATCAGATGCTATAGTAACCGATTAAATGAGATGCAAAAATCCTTTATTACTTTTTTTTTTTTTTTTTTTTTTTTTTTTTTTTTAAGAGACAGGGACTCACTATGTTGCTCAGGCTGGTCTTGAACTCATGGGCTCAAGCAATCTTCCTGCCTTGGCCTCACCAAGTGCTGGAATTACAGGTGTGAGCCACCACACGGTTCTTTACTAAACACAGTTCTTTACTAAACAGTGTGAGACTCTTAACAATTTTACAGTTGGCCGGGTGCGGTGGCTCATGCCTGTAATCCCAGCACTTTGGGAGGCTCAGGTGGGTGGATCGCGAGGTCAAGAGATTGAGACCATCCTGGCCAACATGGTGAAATCCCATCTCTACTGAAAATACAAAAATTAGCCGGGCGTGGTGGCACGTGCCTGTGGTCCCAGCTACTCAGGAGGCTAAGGCGGAAGAATCGCTTGAACCCAGGAGGTGGAGGTTGCATCGAGCTGAGATTACACCACTGCACTCCAGCCTGGGCAACAGAGCAAGACTCCGTCTCAAAAAACAAACAAACAAAAAACAATTTTACAGTTGTAAAGAGAATGAGATTACCTAGGAATAGAGGGTGGGTGACTCTGAAACCACATCCCCTCTATTTTTTGAGACAGTCTCTCTGTCATCCAAGCTGGAGAGTAGTGATGCAACTTCAACTCACTGCAGCCTTCACCTCCCAGGCTCAAGCAATCCTCCCACCTCAGCCTCCCAGGTAGCTGGGACCACAGGCATGCACCACCACACCTGGCTGATTTTTATACTTTTTGTTTTTTTAGCAACAGGGTCTCTCCCTGTGCTGCTCAGGATGGTCTAAAACTCCTGGGCTCAAGCGATCCACCTTCCCCGGCCTCCGAAAGTGCTGGGAATACAGGCGCACAACACCCTATCCAGCTGATTTTTATACTTTCTGTAGAGGTGGGACCCCCCTATGCTGCCCAGGCTGGTCTCAAACTCCTGGACTCAAGTGATCCACCTGTCTCAGCCTCCCACAGTGCCGAGATTACAGGCGTGAGACACCGTGACCAGCCTCCTCTTTACCTTCTTTAAAGACCAAGAGGAGTTAAAAGCTTCCTTAGTCCCTAACCTAGTTATTTCCCTTCTAGAAATTTGTCCTAAGGAAATAATTCAAAATGCATTCATCCCTGTATAATTTGTTTTGTTTTATTTTTTGAGACAGAGTCTCACTCTGTCTCCCAGGCTGGAGTGCAGTGGCATGATCTTGGCTCACTATAGCCTCCACCTCCCAGGTTCAAGCGATTCTCATGCCTTAGCCTCCCCAGTAGTTGGGATTACAGGCGTGCACCACCATGCCCAGCTTTTTAAAGTTGAAACCGGGTTTCACCATGTTGGCCAAGCTGGTCTCAAACTCCCGGCCTCAAGTGATCCGTCTGCCTTGGCATCCCAAGGTGCTAGGACTGTAGAATGAGCCACGGTGCCCGGCCCCCTGTGTCATTTGTAATAACAAAAAGCTGGGAGCAGGAATGGAAAAGGTAAGTAGATTACGCACAGAACCAAGTCACAGCCACTAACTGCAGAGTCATGAGAAATGAAAACTACAGAAAAAATAGTTTTGAAATGCTAACTGAAAAGCAAGATACAAAAGTATAAAAAATGTTTTAAATAGCTATAAATGTGCTGTTAATACAACAATGATTAAATTCATTGCTTCACTGGAAGCAAATTTCACCAATACAACCAGGGCTGTGCCAAAGCAAACACCAGTTAAAATTTACTGGCGCTGTTGTCTTTTCTCTCTTCTCTAAATGTTCTATTCTATAGTTATTATCAAAATACAAAAACAAAATGGGTAAGGCAAATTTATGAAAGATGTGTTAATACGAAGTATCAATATCTAAATGAATATTTGTACAAACTCTAAGCCTGTAAAAAAAATTTTACAAGACCTCAGGTGGTTTTCTTAATGAAAACTTTGTCAAAAGCATTACATTGATAGAAAACTACAATGTATCTTAATTTCCTCCTTACTTGCAACAAATAAACTCCTTGATCAACAAATTCTTGCTCAAATGTCTAGAGAATGTATGCATGTATCGCCTACACTGGAGAACGGTTTTGCATCAGTCTTCTATCGGCTTCCTGCCATTGCCGTATGACTGGAGCTAATTTAGGTTAGTGCTCACTTAATAAAATGTAAGAGCAGTTGGGTGTGATGGAGCTCAATGGTAATCCCAACACTTGGGGAGGCTAAGGAAGGAGGACTGCTTGAGCCTATGAGTTCTTTTTTTTTTTTTTTTTTTTTTTTTTGGGACGGAGTTTCGCTCTTGTTACCCAGGCTGGAGTGCAATGGCACGATCTCGGCTCACCGCAACCTCTGCCTCCTGGGTTCAGGCAATTCTCCTGCCTCAGCCTCCTGAGTAGCTGGGATTACAGGCACGCGCCACCATGCCCAGCTAATTTTTTTGTATTTTTAGTAGAGACAGGGTTTCACCATGTTGACCAGGATGGTCTTGATCTCTTGACCTCGTGATCCACCCGCCTCGGCCTCCCACAGTGCTGGGATTACAGGCGTGAGCCACCGCGCCCGGCCATGAGCCTGTGAGTTCTAAACCAGACTGGGCAACAAGGGAGACTCCGTCTCTACAAAAAATACAGAAACTAGCTGGGTGTGGTGGTGCTCGCCTGTAGTCTCAGCTACTCTGGAGGCTCAGGTGGGAGAATCACTTGCAGCTAGGATGTGCCGTGAGCCACGGTTACAGCACTGCACTCCTACCTGGGTGACAGACCAAGATCTTGCCTCAAAAAAAAAAAAGTATATATATATATCATTTAGCTAAGAGATGTTATAAATATAATAATGATCAGCTTGATTACTGACACGGCGTTTTCTTCTGCTGATAAACTCCCATTAACTGGAAGCAAGATGTCAATGAGAATGAGACAAGCCCCTAAATTTAAGAAACAAACTAAAGATGAAATGAATTGCAGTGTAAAATTAGATTGGCAGGACAGCCTTGCTTGCTCCAGAAGTCAGTAAGAAATAGGTGTTACTGCCTGTTCTGAAACTCAGAACCCCTCTATCGGTGAAAGCCTCTCATTTTCATTCCACTTCTCACCTCACCTTAATTCAGAATGACATAGGGAAGAATTCAGAATTCCCTCTTCATTACTCCTGAAATAGTTACCTTCTGTTTTGTTCTTTGAGGGAAGGGAAGGGAGAGCGCAAAGGCGAATTTTTAACACTCATTTTCACAATTGGGTCACCACTCAAAAGCAAAGCTATTTGTGAGAAATGAATTACTGCTTTCACAGAGACCAAAACTCATGTCTCTCTTCAACACAGCTCCTACAATTTCCCAAAGAAATAAAAGCAAAAATTATCAGAAATAATGCCAGAAAACTAAAACAGTATGCTGCTTTACTCTTTTATTTTTTATTTTGTTTTTTGAGACAGGTTCTCTCTCTGTCTCCCTGGCTGGAGATCACAGCTCACTATAGCCTCTGGCCTCAAGGAGTCCTCCCACCTCAGCCCTCAACGGACCTGGGACTCCGTTTTGTAGAGATGGGGTCTCCCTGTGTTGCCCAGGCTGGTCTTGAACTCCTTCCTGGCCTCGGGTGATCCTCCTGCTTCAGCCTCCCAAAGTGCTAGGATTAGAGGCATGAGCCACTGTGCCCAGCCTCTACTTTATTTTTTGTATTTTAGGGACAAGGTTTCACTCTGTTGTCCAGGCTGAAGTGCTGTGGCCAGATCTTAGCTCACTGCAACCTCAAATTGCCAGACTCAAGCAATCCTCCCACCTCAGCCTCCTGCGAAGTAGCTGGGACCATAGGTGCATGCCACCAGACTTGGCTAATTTTTGCTTTTAAGTTATGAAAAGAGTTTAGCCAAACTTCTGTTCTTTGGGAAAACACACAGTCCTACTTTATAAATTCATAAACTGAAATAAAAGCAGCCCCAGTTTTCTCCTAATATTCCCTAGACACTAATATTTGCTTAAAAAACAAACAAGCAAAAAAAACCAACTTTTTCCTCACTCCCTCATCCTTATTTCCCAATTCCTATTCAATGGCAGTATTCTCTTAACCCAGGGGTCAGATTTTCTGAAAAATACCAGACAGTAAATATTTGGGATTCTGCAAGGCTGCTGTCTGTTGCAATTGCCCAACTCTGCTCTAACGGACTAAAGGCAGCCACAGACAATATAAATGTGGGCGCATTCCAAAAAACACTTTATAGGTGACACTGAAGTGTTAATTTCAACACAATTTCACGTTACACAATATTATTCTTTTGTTTTCAACCTTCGAGAAATATAAAGACCAATCCTGGCCTACAGACTATACACAAACAGGGTCTGGCCCATGAGCTGTGGCTTGCTGACCTGTGTCTTAGCCAGTCACCTACCTGTGGCCTAGGGGATGTTCATGCAATCCTCACCCCTGCTGTCCTGTCAGTTCTACCTTTATAAACAGGAGAGTAGCACGAAAGCGATTTGTGAACTGTAAAGCACAATAGTATACAAGAAATTATGAGGCCCAGCTGGGCATGGTGGTGGTGGCTCATATCTGTAATAGCAGCATTTTGAGAGCCCGGGGCAGGCGGCTCACCTGAGGTTACCTGAGCTGAGATCCTGCCATTGCACTCCAGCCTGGGAAACAAGGGTGAAATTCCGTCTTCAAAAAAGAAATTATGAGGCCCAATGCAGTGGCTCACGCCTGTAATCCCAGCACTTTGGAGAGCTTAAATCCAGGAGCTCAAGACCAGATTGGGGAATATAGCGAGACTCCA